AAACATTTCTAAAGAATTAGATCCTGAAGAATACAAAAGATTAGACAAGTTTAGAGAGGTCAGTGGTTGCATGTTGGAAAACCTTATTACTCATAACAGAGACTGGTAAAGGCCTTCAAATACAAGTAACCTGAATAAATTGTAATTCATTAATTTGACTTTCCACATAGCATAGCAGTTCAAGATGAAAATAAACAAATCTGCTTGCCCTTCAGCAATTTTTAATGTGGTAAACGCTAGAGTTTTACACCCGTATCATAAGCTGCAGCTTTTCCATTGAACAGTGTTATGTGCAGTAAATTATATCATGCACTTTATTAAGAAGTTAATGCTACTTAATGCTGACAAAATATCAAGTGATTCAAAATTTTATTTGCAATATTGAAGGTTTTTGATACCAATATACCAATATTTAAGCTTAGTTCAAATGAGATTTTCTTCAGCTGAGCAGTAGACTGAAATTATATTAATTGTATCAGCTGGAAAGGGTAAACAAAATTTATTTTTTCATGGCAATCATTTTACAATTGAATTTGAAAAAATTAAACTTGGAGCCCTGCAGTTACATGTAATTACTTGTTGATGTGTACAACATAATTTTTTGGGAAACCAACCAGAACCTGCAATTGTCATATAGTCGAGGGAAAAGAAGACTCCAAGCAGTACATGTGGGCTGATTTCCATGTATTGTAGTGAGAAATTAAATTTTGAAACAATTTTTTCTTTCAGGTTCAAGGCCAAGTCAGGAAGGGTAAAAAGAAATTTGAAAAGCTGAAAGTAGATGTTATGCAAAAGATAGACTTGCTGTCTGCGAGTAGATGTAACTTACTTTCAAGCACACTTGCTGCATACCAGCAAGCGTTGCTTAAGTTTTGGGAAAACACTTCTCGCACTATGATACAAGTATCAGAACAGTTTAAGGGGTTACCGGCATATCAGTTTCAAATGCTGAAAAGCCTTAATCCTCTGACTCTGGAAGGTGATGACAAGGAGAAGGGAGAAGAAGGAAAGGAAACCAAACCCGTCAGAGAATCTGAAGATGACAAAAAAGAATCCGCTGACTGTGGGGAAAAGAAAGAAGCTTCAAAAGAAGATGATGATGATCAATTAATTTCTCTGGATCATTCACCACTAGAAGAGAAAAAGACAGCTGAGGATGAGAACAAAAAGGCTGATAATGATGATGACGAAGCACTCTTAGAAACAGATTTATTGGGAGATGATGAAGTGTCCAATGGTAATGTGGATGAAAAATATGAAACGCCTTTCATTGATTTGCTTGGTGATGATGCTTTGATGCCATCAAACCACAAATCAGGTTAGTAGTGCACTGTCACATGGCTACAAGTGCGTGGGCTGTAGATCTCTGGGTTCAAACAGGGGGGGAAGGTTTCACTCCAACCACACTTTTGAACTTAGCAGGCCATGCAATGAAATACAGCCTGCCAAATTGACCAATAATAGTGCACATACTTACCAAGGGATGTGTGTGTAGTTATTTATTTTCTTGTTGTGCTACTGATATTTGTCTTTTTAAAATTTAATGATGAGAGTCCCAACTATGAACTGATTCAATTGTAACAAGTCTCAAACACCTCTTCTTTGTACTTTTTGTTTGTTAGGGACCAGTGATCTTCTGTCATCATTTGAGGATCATCCAAGTAGTAATGGACTTACAAGTCATCGCTCGATTATGCCACCCAGCTATGAAGAGGCAAAGCAAATTCCTGTGCCTGGTATGGGATTGATAAGTAATTATCCTGTAACTCTCCAAGAGTGACTAGCACCTTTATGTTATTTGTAATTACAATATCACACCTAAATTAAACATAAAGCTCACAAGAATAAACAAAATGATCCCCAACCAAGAGGCTCTTGATTGTTTAAAAAGATGTTCCTTATGGCTGAACCATATTTTCAAAATAATTACTTCTATGTAGAGAGTATCTGTTCTTAACCCTTTCACTCCCACAAGTGACCAAGACAGAATTTCTCCTTACAATATCAATACAATATCAAGCAGGCAGGTGATGAGAATAGAGAAGAATATTAATCATGGGATTATTAGTTGATCCAATACCAAATTCTCTGAACTAACATCATAAGAATTGTATGGCAGATGGTAAGGAGAATTACTAATTAGATCTTGGGAGTGAAATGTTTAATATGAGTATAGTGAGATTTTTCTCTTTCTTTGTGTCCAGGAAGTGAAAATGCATCATCAATGACGGCTGATGATCTGCTGTTTGGTTCCCCTACCAAGGAAGACAGAGCACCTGGAAACAAGTCAGATATTGATATCTTAAGTGAAATTCTTGGCTCCAATGGTTCCTCCATGCAGGGTGTCGAGAGTGAGAATAGCTTCAGCAAAACGTGGAAGGATATGTTTGGGGATGAGCCAGTTGAGACTGCTCAGCCGTCTTTGCAGGAACCCAATCAATCATGGTCCCAAGGGGGTTCCAACTTTATGATGCCCTCTGACCTCCTTAACAGCATGGCTAGGTTTGATCCATTTGGTGAGGTACCAACAGGCGCCCCTCCTCAGCATGCAGCAAGTGCAGCTTCAAAGATGTCAGCTCCCATGCAGGGAGGCAAGCGTCAAGAGGGTCATCAAGGTTCACAGGCAAAACAGGCTTCATTACTCGCAGGAAAAGCAAGTGACAAAGGGAAAGGAAAGGGGAAAAAAGGTTCTGACATGTCTGCTTGGTTCAGTTTGTTCTCCGACTTGGATCCCCTAGCCAATCCTGATGCAATTGATAAACAAAACAAAAAGAGTGAAGAAGACAGACAATGTTAAGTACATGTAATTGAAATCACAGAATTTATTTATGGTGAATTGTATAATGGCTGACACAAAGCCAGCTTGGAACTTCAAAACCAAGGTCATGGAAGGTTGAAATCAGATTGAAATCAATTGGGGTGGGGTTAATTTTTTGGTTACATGTACTGCCATGAATAATAATGATAAAAAAAAAAACAGCAACAACAACAAGAAAGATCATTTCATCTCAACAGATGGTTTTAAAATGAATATGTGCAAATATTTTGCAAGCAGAAACAAAATAGCTGTGTATATCTCTTAAAACCCTGAAATAACAGATTCTTGATTCTTCTTTTAGGACTAAATAAAATGTTTTGCTAATTTGGCTTGTAATTTTGAATTAAAATTGGCCAAATATTTTCAAAGTTTTGCTCATTTTCTTCACAAAGTCATTGTCTGCTAAAGAAATGGTCAAAGGTTCTTTCAAAATTATAGACCACTGCTAGAGTTGTTTTTGATTTTGATAGCTGGTGAATAAATACTAGCATGCTGGGATTTTCCATAAGGGACAGTAGAAGAAGAAAAAAGGCAAATTTAAGCCTCTTTTAAGTTATTGTTTAATCGTTATAATATTGTATATTTAAGTTTTCTAAGTGTTTGTTGGGTGTATATATTACAGTCACAATTACATTCTTTGTGTATGAAGACATACACTGTAAGGGAGCAAATGATGGGCTTCAGTACTTTTTTCTTTCTTTCTTTCTGAATAACATGAGCAAGTTGTAAACATTGTGTAGACCTCACCTTCATGTCAACTGCCTGATTTATCAGTGTAGATGCGTGTCTTAGGGATGTCAGTATGATAATACTGCTTGTTGTTTGAAATCTTTACACCATAAAACATGTTGGAGAGTAGGGCTATGAAATTACAATAGGAGCAAAGTTATGGAAGGTTAAGACTAGGTTACATGCCTTGTGACATTATTGAAAATAAAGTCATGTTTTACTCGAGTATGCACTGTAAGTTATTGTTTTCAAGCCATCTGGCGAGCAAGCAATAATTTCACCCTTTAACTCCCAGAAGTGATTAAAATGTAATTTCTCCCTATAATATCTATACATTATCCAACAAACAGGTAATGAGAATACTCAGACTCATCAGGTCTATCTGATCAAACACCAAGTTCTCATAACTAATTTACAAGGAAATGTGCAGCAGCTAGAGGGGAGAATTAAAAACTAGATCGTAGGAGTTAAAGTGTCAAGGGAGAGTCAAGAATACGAGAACGTAAACTTAAAATTGTGATTGGGAAAATGTCAAAAGATTTAGGAGCACACAAACTTTTAAGAAAGTTTGTGACATGTCAAATTATACTGAAAGTCCGAGTTGATTACTACATTACTTTGCACATCGAGAGAATGGCGACTGCAGTGTTACAGGGAGGTACTTCATCAATTATTTTCAGTTTTATTAGCATGGTGAAGATTTAGAATCATGAAATTAATTACTGTTGACTTTATCAATAAGTACGTTCAGTGTGGAACTTAAAAATACCCCATACTAGATTGCAAAATTAATAAGTTGATGGTGACCTGAAAGTCAATTTACAGAAATGATTATAACCAAAAAAAATTATTTTCTCATGATTTTCTGATAGTTGTAAAAAGAGTATTTTCTTTTTGTTATATCATGTTTAACTACTTCTTGGTTTATTGAAGTGAAAAGCATTTTGTCAAAAGAAAGTTCAGTCAAACTAAATACTAAAGCAGATGGGTCTGGATTCTTTATTAACTAAAATTTGAGATAACAATGGAGTTTAGAGTGCAATCAGTATTTCTGTGAAATAAAAATCACACAATATACGATTCTCATATATTCATATTTATTAAATATTCCTAAGTTGTAAAAAGTAGTGGTGTCTAATTAAACAAAAGAAAACAATGTAATTAACACAAAATTGTGTAATTTAGCATTACTATTTCACACATATTGTTTGCGCTCTACTTTTCACTGTCTTACCCACCTTCGAAAATGGATCATATATAAAATGTACATGAAACTACTGACTCCCCCTAAAAACTTCTTTCTAAAAAGTTAAATAGCCCCCCCTCCCCCCTCCCCCCTCTGGCCAATCGAAAATAGCCTTGACTCCCCCTTTTTTCCCTTCCCACTCAACATTAATTACGACTGTTCCCTTAAAAAACATGTACAGTAAAATTCGTATTTCAAGCCTTGTCGTAAAAGTAATGCATTGTTTTTATTAAATGCAAAATATCTTAAATATCAAGCAAGCTTAAGGACTATCCTCTTTCCTTTTCAAGGTCGTGACTTTTCGATTATCATAAATGCATTCCATATCACACCCATATAATCCTCAGGAGAAAGCAAAAATTGTTCTTCAAGACGATAGAAAAATTCGTCCAGAATCGAATTTTTCTCCTCTGCAGAATGATGGTCACTGAGTGCTGTAGGAAAGAAAAAAACGAAGTGACATTTATTGCCATTCACAAGTACCTATATACGTATGCATTCGTTCCCAGGACTCACCATTTCCCAATTTTCAAGCTAAAAGCCTTGAGAACGAGGTTGGCACAAAGTAGTAAATATGTGCTCATCAGCGAGTACTTTTTAATTTTATTTTAGAGGAACTTTGTTGAGCAATTGTTAGATATTTTGCGCATGGTTTGGTACAATGTTTTAGTACTTTTCTTTAAATAGGAAAGGTTTAACTAAACTGACTCAAGTTGGAAGTTGATATCTGACGGGGATAAGAATGTACAAATCTAAAACAGCGAATAGCGTTAAAGGTGCACTCTGATTGGCTACTCCAACTCCGAATATCCTCTGCTATTCACCTCTGAGCAATGCAGGCGGAATTTGCGCCCTAAAACATTGTAATTGTTGCAGGAATAAACGAGTCAAAATCACCTCTTCGTGCTATATTATCTCACTGTTTTAGTATACACTCAATTGTAGAAACGTTGACACTTAAAAAGCGTTTACAATGAACGTTAAGAACCTTCGGCTCTTTGGATACACATATGTATGATAAACACAATTAGCGCGTGGTGAATGATGAAAGTTATCCACGCTTACCTGGAAGAAAAGGATGATTATATAGGTTTTTCATTGTTTTTCTAAAGTGAATCACTGATTATGTGGCTGCTCGAATATTCCCATAAAAGCCATTGGGTCTCGTCTTCATGGATCATGCTTTTTAGGTGTTAAGGTTTTTGAAATTGGGTGTATATTGAAACAACTTTTCACCTTGGTGTCGGTAGCTCGCGGTGGATATTTAAAGCGCCGCTTCGCAACGAGGGTAATATCCGCCACTAGTCTCGTGCCCGGACTTTTCACGGCTATGCGGTGGTAAGTTCCTACATTTCGGTTGCATGGAAGGATCTAGGTCCAAGCAATCTCCACTTCGGTGAATAGTCGTTGAATGTTGAGTATTTATAATAGTTTACTCACCCGACTGAAAGAAGGAATTGCTCCAAGCCCTGGTTTGTTCAGTCATCAGTCTTGCACATGCTTTAGCGTTTCCAGTAATTTTCCACATGGCTTTCTCTGGTAAAGGAAACTCTTTCAATTCCATGGAGACAAGATTAAGACCAGCGTTTCTAACCGGCGATGCATCTGATAGGAACGGCTTCACCAGTTCTTCACGAGTTCGGAAATATTCAGGGATGGTCATTTCTTCCATATCTTTCTGCGGTGTAAAGAGAAATGGCACTTCAGAAGAATACATATGACCTTATTTCGAGAATACCCCCAGCCCTTTCACTTTCGGGAACTCATTAGCTGTTTTCCTAGCCTTTGTTTTACAAATCTTATGATGTTAGCTCGCAGAACTTGGCATTGGATCAACTAACAATTCCCTTATTGATAGTTTTCTGTATTCTCAACACTTGTCTGCTTGATTTTGTATTGATACTATAAAGAGAAATTCTGTCTTGGTCACTCATGGGAGTTAAAGGGTTAACGAACCTTTTATAGCGCAGGTTCAAAGTCATTGTCGTTTACAAAAGAACCCTTGTGATCGTTTTAAATCAGCGGAGCATAGTTTGAAACGATAGGATGTGGGTAATTTTATAAATCATTCATGAATCAAACTTCAATTCAGTCTAAGGGGGATAATTTCATGAAGAAACTGTGGTGCTGCGTCGGTAGGGTGTCCAACAAGATAATTTGGTTTATCAACTGAGTTAATAAAATAAAGTGGCCACTGTAAACAATTTCTAAAGCTAACGTTTCGAGAATTAGCCCTTCGTTGATCGCTTTGACGAAGGATTAACGCCCAAAACGTCAGCTTTAAAAACTCTCTACGGAGGCCAATTTACAGCATCAACTCAGTTGATAAAACCTCATCATTTAATTAAGTTTGTGTATTTAAAAAATTATCAGAGGTGCTCGAGGAAAATTGTTGAAAAGTCTGGCTCACATTAATTAAAGATAAAACTTAATGAAAAGTTCACTTAACCTTTGAAATGATCTTGTCTTTTTCCATGCTCTCCCAAACGTTGTACAATAACTTGTAGATAACAAGAGCTGGGACGCTACCTTCGGTTTCCTTCCCATGTGTACAGGCTATAATCAGTGCCAGCCTACCACCTTAAACCAAAGATAGAACATAATTAGCAATGAACGTAAATTTATTAAGTGGCAAGTGCGAAGTGAGATCCGACTTGTGAAACTAAATTTTACTTCTCTGTGACTGATTTTGACTCGATAAACATGGATGTTTTTTTTAGAGTCGGTGTAAACATGTTTCTCACCTTTGGCAAGTTCTTTTGCTCTCATCAACAAGAACTGTTCCCAGTCCTTCTCAGCCTGTTTGGCAAACATATTTCTCTCTTGTGGGACTTCGGAGAAGCAATGCAGTATCGCCCTAGTCAAATTACAGGGTTTTTTCCTCAGCCACTGAATGGCCAGACAGGAAAAGCCCAAGTTTACGGAATCGCTGGGGAAACATTGCTCGTAAAAACTGGTTCCTGTTGCAGATATGAAGACATTTGGGAAATCGCTAAGATAGCTGGATGAAAGTGGCAGCAAACCTGAAACGAAAGTGTACAGACGCAGTTTTAACTGAAGATAAAAATGGCTAGGGGTTGCTTTATTGCAGCATTCAAATACAAAAATGAACTCGAAGCAAGTGTCCATGACTCTGATAAGTTTCGGTAAGAGTACTTGACAGTAAAGGCTGTTACGAATTGCATGTATTAAAAAATCAAGGTATAACCCATCCTTCCCTTTTTTTTTCCTTTTCTTTTTTTTCGTTTGATTATAAACAATCGCTTGGTCATGTTATATCTGTATCCCACTTTCCCTCACGCACAACACCCCGAGCTCAGTAGGAAAAGGAGAGGCCCTGAGAACGAGGTTTTTGATCGAATTAATAAGATTTGAAACCTTCATGGATTGAGCTGAAATTTGGTCTGAAGGCTCTCAAGATATCAATATCTAAAAACCTTTTTTGTTCTTACCACATCTTGACGTCATCTGTGATCTATTACTGAACAGACGCACGGCAACTTAGAATCTATTTGTTAAATAGTTGATGGTGGTTGCGCTTCAAATAGCGCGGTAACAATTTTTTTTAGCGAAGAACACCTGGGAAGGTCTACCGCGTCCTTAAAACATCGTCAACATACACAATGAATAGCAATTCGTTATTTTCACTATCATATGTTTTTTTTTCACCTTGCACATAGTAAAAGATTGAGTTGTAGTCATTTTCTGGTCTGTCTTCATAATTTATGTGAATTTCAAGCTCATTCCCATGCAAGTTTCTCAATTCCTCCACGCATGCGTACATGAGTGGCATGGAGGTCCCTCCGTCAGCACAGCCATAGTCAGCGATGGTGAATGGCTTCCCAGAATATACAGCAATGGACTTGAAAGACTCGATCACTGTAGGAGAAATATGTTTCATGCTTTCCTCGGATATTGAAAATTTTGAGGTGAAGTAGCCCGCTCCTGAAGGAACCCACTCAGTATGAGGGCGGGAAAGCTGCAATAATGAAAATTATTATTTTAGATACAATACAATTCAATTCGTTGTTCAGACACGTATCGTCTAGGAGCTGTAATTTTGTTAATCGAACAAATTACAAACATCATACAAAACGAAATATTAAGAAATTATTAAAAATGGTGAAAAATGAAGTGGAATAATCATTATAAAAAACAGCTTTCTTTGATCTCGCCAATTAAGAAACAGTTGGCGTGCAGCGTGCAATCGTCAAGTTATGGTGCACGCGGGAGGTTGCTAAGCACAAAGCGTAATAGCGTAAAGTCGGGCGAACACAGCGGTCAAACACTGCGCATACACGAGTTCGAAAACAATAAAAGGGACTGGCGTATAGTAAGGAAATGCGTAAGACAAATGAAAGAAAGATTTTTGAGAAAGATTAAATCTTGGCTTTATTTTATCGTGAGTTATTGTAACTGTTTTTAACGCGGACGCTTGGTTTCGGTGATAAAGGAAAATGACAGAACTTTTATTCGACCCTTGCTGCAGAGTCTGCTGTCTGCTGTAAACATAGACCCGTTATAGTCAGAAATATCTTGTGTGGCTGTGGTTCTTCCCTTTTTCACACATTTTTCTCGGTTTTTACCGGCAACTCCATCATGAACACAACAAAGAATAACTACAGCCAACACGGCCAAGTTTACGGACGACTTCATCACGCCGCCGTGTAAGGTGTAAAAAAATCCAAAAGTTTAAACTTATACATGGTGGGTCAAGTCCAGAACAACAATATGTATAAGTCTCGACCTTAGAAACTTCGAACTTTCCTTAGAAACTGCGAAAAAATACGCCTTAATTTGAATCTCCATATTTTCAAAAGCAAATTATCCATCATGGTGCGCATTTGCAGTCATTTGACCGTTGTGTTAGTTGCACGAGGCAATAACCGAGTGCAATTCTAACTTCTTGATTGCTTATCAAACCACCCCAGCACATATCTAACTCAGCCACCTGAGAGTTTGCGCTGTATCTATTTTATTATTCTGCATTGTACATCTCGTAGGACCGAACACAAAGCCGCGCGTCTCCGGCTTTGTTGCCTTACTCTCGCCTTCATGTTTCGCCTTCATGCGGCGATTTTTCTTTAAATGTTATTTTTTAAAAAGAGCGCGCGACGCCACATGAGTCATTTGACAAATTTTCATCTGTCATCAAAATTATGGCAAAATGAGCGAAGTTTCTGTTAAACAAGACCTAGACGCATATAACGTTTTCTGGTAAACAAGGCCCAGATACAAATAACGTTTTTCAAGGTGAAACTTGAACACGGCCTAAACATTGTAAGAAGTGGAAAAGAAGATGTCTTACCTTTCGTTCTCTGCATCCAGACATTTTACTGACTTTGTTTAGTTGAGGTACCGTCAGAAAGTAATTGACTCACTAGGAATGTAATAAGTGGCTGTGGAAACCAAGAGCATTTGAAAGAATATTAATACTTTCCTTAAAATACTGACAAAGTCGATTCAGTTTAATTGTCGTTTTTAACGTTGGTAACTCTGCCAGTTTTAAATACTTTCTATAATTACCTGCCTTGTTGTTGTTTTTTTTCAGTGCAAGCCAAAGTCGTATGTCCCGAAGTGTTAGCGCTGAATATGACAAGTTTGAAAGAGGCAACCTTTTTATAAAATACCTCTCAAGTGCCCGAATGACGCAAGGAGAGTGTCATTATGAAGATCTATTGGACGTGATTCCAAGATTTCAAAGATTTGTGAAGCCAGCACGGAAATCAATTTACGTCATTGCAGGACGACAGGAAAGGGGACCCTTGAAAGGGAATTAGCGACTTGTTTTGCTGTTTTTCCTTACATTCAGGGCGTTACGGAACCCATCAAGAGAATTTTGAATAGCCACTAAACGTGAGTTTGGTACACGTTTGAAAGAGCATCAAAAAGCAGTTTTCTTTTGCAAAAAGGAAAATTCAGCTTTACCAGAGCACACATGCCTAACTAACTATACAGCTGGGTGGGATGATTCTAAAATTATCACCACTAATAGGCGTTACCATTAGCGCCTTTGTTTGGAGGCTTGGCATATTAACTCCGCCCACGCTCCTTTAAATCGTTAAAATGGCGGCTTGCTTCCTGACTCCTATTTATACCTCGTCAGAAAAAGGGCAACTAATTAGTGATCAAATAAAAGGACCTCTTGCAGCGTTTAGATCACCCCTGATGAAGGCACTAGGCTCCTTTAAATCGTTACAATGGCGGCTTGCTTCCTGACTCCTATTTATACCTCGTCAGAAAAAGGGCAGCTAATTAGTGATCAAATAAAAGGACCTCTTGCAGCGTTTAGATCACCCCTGATGTGAAGGCACTAGACAGGAGCGTCGAAACGTTGGGTCTATGAATTGAAACTTCTTCGGTTACATTCATTAAATCTGTAAACCAGAGTAGCATCAAACCAATTTTGATTGTCCACCTGGTTGCCGTGTGAACTTTAATATACCCTAGCTTGCCTTAACTTTTTTTTATCGCAATTATTTAGTTTTTTCATCGAAGTTTGTATTTCCGTTTTATTTTCATTAAATTTTTTTACCATAATATTTTGATTGTTATCGAGTTAATATATTCATAACAATTTCCTGATTTTATCATTCTTAATAATTTCATTGAACTGCTAAACTGTGCAGCTAATGATGAGACCATATATGATTTCGAACCACGAATAATCCCAAAATTAAACATAAATGATCTCGAACCGCAATTGATCTCCGCTTGTAGGATTGCAAATAATCTCGGAAAAATTCTGGAATGGCATTAGTAATGGAGTGGAGAGGGAAAAGCATGTACGTAATGTTGTTTGACGTTTTTTTTTTTTGAGTGTTTTAAACCTTAGTACGTTATTAATAGCACCTAGAAATCTGCATTTGTCCCTTAATTCTTCAAAAATGATTGAGTTTTAATCCATATCGTTGTAGAAGTGTATTAGCCATGGTCTAAAACATGAAAAAAAAACCCTACCTGAAATAAAAACTATTTCATAGTTACAAGATCTATAAAGCTAGAAGTTGAGTACGTGAGCTTTTCAAATTACTTAACGAAACCGCAGTCCACTCTTCATCCTTATTACACTTGCGTCAGTGCGTCCTTGACTGAATTTACGTAACAATGGGTATTATCACGTTTATTAAAACTCGCTAAAGGCTTCAAAGGAAGTCCACCATTTGATGTTGTGTCATTTTTTCTTGATAAATAACACATGAATCGCTTTCATATTTTAGACGGACTCTCTTGCAAAGTCTATTTAAGATGATTCCCACTAATGCCTGTTTCGAAAAATAAAATTTAAGAGATATGATGAGTCAGACCTACTCCATTTACTCCTGTTCTGGCACTGGTCACGCGCGTCATTTCATAGGTTCATGGTACATTTTTGGGTAGCTGGAAACAAGGCTGTTTGAAATAACGCTTGAAAAAAAACTTGATAGAAAGTCTTGAGCGTATGGAACAATTTAATATATAATTTGTGAAAACGTCACGTAATTTTTAAACGAAATCGACTCAAAACGTTCAAAGTCATCGCCTTCCGGGTTATAATTTGCGTCATCTAGTAACGGGCTTTGTGCACGTTTTTAACCATATCATTTCTTCTCTTCGATATAATTTTTTTAATTTCTCCAATTTAAAGGTGACAATCTAAATAACAAAATGATGTACTAAAATAATATTGGTCACCGTACTCGTTCACGAGCTTAAGACCATCGCACCTCTTTAAATCCATTTATTTATAGTGCGCTAGAAAGCTATTCTTGTATGAAAACGTGTTAATGATTTGGAGGAGGGGCAGGAAAACGGATGAGTTATGGGGGATCTAAGACAAAAGATATATTCGGTCAACAAAATTGATTTTTGGAAAATCAAACGGATTTGCCCTTTTGTAAAAGATGTGTGTTACATGACAGTACGTGCGATATGAAGAAGATGAATAATGTTAATAAATAAAAGATGAGGAAGTGGAAATGATTTAACAACACAGTAAGTGACACATTTCTGAAGAGGTGTGCTTCGCAAACGGAGGAAAAAAACAAATAAATAAAAATACTGGCATCCAGTGAAATTTCGTGCCTCTTGCTTCCTTCCAGTACTCTTTTACATCGCATATGCCGTCATGTACCTCACGTCTTTAAGCAAAAAAGAAAATCCTTTCGTTTTCATTTAAATACCTTTCAGATAAACGGCAAATCCTTTCGATTTTCTAAATATCTTTTTGTTTTACCGAACATTTTTTAGTTTCATTGATATCTTTCAGCGTTACTAGACAATTTGACATACGTGTGTACTAGCTACATAACATCGAAATATGTACATGTCCGCAAACGGCTTTCATGCTCAATACGGTCGTACAATTTTGAAAGGAACTTGCGATTACGCTTAATGTCAAACTTTTAGGCATCAAGTTATATTCTATATATTAAGAGAAATTATCTGCATATATATTTAACATTGGTATCCAACAGGCAGTAAATAAACCTTCTAAAGAAACTGCGGTGCTGCGTCGGTGGGAGAGTATAGCAGGTAATTTAGTGTTAACAACTGGGTTGAAAACGTAAATTAGCCACCGTAAAGGGTAAAAAAGCTGACGTTTCGAGACGCTCTGACGAAGGGCTAACGCTCGAATCGTCAGCTTTTTTACCCTTTACGGTGGCTAATTTACGTTTTCAACCCAGTTGTTAACACTAAATTACCTGCAATAAACCTCTTAGGTCGGCTGGTACTTGTATGTCGGCTGGCAATTAGTGTCAACGGTTGATGGATTTGTCCGAAAAATGAACATTTGGCCGAATGAAAATGTGAAATTTTGAGGACAATTTCTCAGCCAAGGACATTATCAGCCAACATAATAGTAAGCCAGAAATGGGTTTATTTATTTAATAACCCTTCCACTAATTAATTATTTTCACAGTGTACCTTCTTTCAGTTCTCTCCCAGTTTAGAGGATCATTATGACCCTGCTCTACTGGAATTTTTGCGTGGTTAAGGTTTGTCACTTGGGAAAGCAATCCGTGAGGAAAGTTTTTCCCTACGTGCTGAAATATTACCACAAGTATTTTAAGATCAGTTTATCGATTGCTTGGACGGCATGTCTATGTCACGTGATTTTGCTATGTGATTTTGCCACGTGATTTTGTGACGTCATTTGTCACGCGATTTTGTCACGTGATTTTTGTCACGTAATCTATCGATGATTGGTTGGCTAGGCGGGATTTTCAATCGATCTCCACTACGTAAGTCCTTGATGTGAGATTTGGAGACTTATCTACCTTTGTACAGTGAAAGAAAGCTCAGATATGTCACCTAAAAAAGTTGAAGTATCTTTCTACTATTTTGAAAGGTTAGGGTACATGGCAACCGGAAGAACGCAAAGGTTGGAAGGTAAGTTTGTTTGTTATCCGGCAAAGTATTTGTTTAGTAAGTAAGACAACAGATTCGATGCTACTCAAATCAAAAACGTGAGAAATAACCTTTTTGAACATTCTAAAGCACCCTCTCAGTTCTAAAGAAACCTTGCTCGAGCGACTCAGCAAAGAAATGGAAGACTTCGCTGTCGAACAAAGATTGCAGTAACAAAAACAAATTTGAGGGGGGGCGCTTCTCAGAGAGGGAGCGCTTATTGGAAGGAGGGCGCTAAATCGAATCCTTATTTTTTAAACCAGAGAGTTTGACCCTTGTTTTGTGCTTACAATGTACAAATATTATAGGATATCAGCTGAACATCTGTCAATAGGCCATCATGCGTGTCCATGCGTTGTCAACACTCAATTTTAATTGTAAGTAACCCTTTAACTCCCAGATCAAGTTTGTAATTCTCCTTACTGTCAACAATACCATTCTTATAATGTTAGTTCAGAGAATTTAGTATTGGATCAACTAATTATCCCAAAATTGATAATTTTCTTTATTCTCATCACTTATCTGGTTGATATTGTATTGATATTGTCAAGAGAAATTCTCTCTTGGTCACTCATGGGAGTTTAAGGGTTAATGAGCAGCAGGAATGTTTATGTCAGTTTCCCACAATACCTTCACTGCAACTAGAGCAGACTGAGGCAATGAAGCATCTATTGCTGGAAATTACATTCTTGATATTTTGCTAACTGGCTTTAGAAAAAGCCTTAGATACAAAATATTTTGTTTAACAAAACTCTTGTTGAACCCCAATTAATGTGTCCTGGTAATTTCCACACACATCAGCATTGTGGTGGAATATTAAGTCAGCAGACTCATGTTAAACGAACCTGGCCCTCCAGGTGTTTCTTTCATAACTGGATGAGGACTGTTTGAGTGCCATACTTGAAGGCAGATTTCCATTTTAATTACACTTTGTTCTATTGAATGCTGTTAGCTTGCTTCTGTGCAGCTAACTCCCATAGTTCAATGTGGGCACTATCATTAATTTTTTTTTGCTTATTTTGTTGACATGCACAATAGACCTTGCCAAAAAAGACTGCTTGTAGTCTGATACCAGATAAACTCTCTCAATGGTTTCCTTTTCTTTTTTGTTTCAGTCTTGTTTCATGCTACTGTCAATCATTGATTTAATATCACACATCTATCAGCAGAAACAAATAAATTTTATCAAACACCATCAGTCACAACTTAGGATATGATCTTCTGAACCTTATGAATTCTCACACCTGCTTGCCTATGGATATGCATTAGATTCTCAGAAATCAGGGTGTTCATTTTCAGGGCCATTTCAAGAAGAGTCTTTGGTACTTCAACTCTGCTTTTGACAGTTGCATGTGTGAAAAATGATGAAGTGTACCCTCAGGTCGAGTGGCCCTAAGCACATCAGCCCTGGAACTTAAACCTTTAACTCCAGGATCTGATAGTCAATTCTCCCCTCCAGCTACAATATATTTCCTTTTAAATTGGTTACAAGAATTTGGTGTTAGATCAAGACAACAACTTCTGTTTGATATGTTTGAGTATTCTCATTACCTGTTTGCTGGATAATGTATGAATATTGCAGGGAGAAGTTAGATGTTAATCAGTTCTAGGAGGTAAAGTGTTAACTTAGTCACCACGCAAGACCACACAAAAGGTACTGGGAGTAAAGCTGCCTTGCGTGGATTGGATGTTGGTCCACCATAGGTTGCCCTTTTCTCTCCTCTCCCCTTCTTCCCCTCCCCTCCCCTCCCCCAGAATTTTAGTAGCTCTCCTTGGCACTTCACAGACATCTAGCCCATTGACTGAAGAAGGGCACCATGAGTGTAAAGTGTGTGGCCTGAGAACAAACACAATGGCCATACTGGGCTTAAAGGCATACCTCTTGTTGACACTCGTGATGATTCATAAGTTCAATATCTTTTTCTGCCCTCTGAATTACTAGGTCCTGAAGTCTAGGGTGCTAACTAGTAGGGAACTCGGTCTCCAGCTATCAAATCTTTCCAAGACAATCAGACTGTCTGAAAATTTTTTCTCTTGTTCTAGTCCTGATGTGAAGACCAAGTATTCACGCATGGATAACATTGACAATTCTGCCCTTACTGCTAAAAGGGGAAGAGCATCAAGTGGAGAACAGATTGGAAGAGGAAAGATAAAGGTTTGCTGAAACTGTGTATACTAAAGAATGTGGAGAGGGTGAAAAGTCTTTAAGGGTGAAGCACTGCTTGAACAATGCAAAAATACTGGTGCTTGTGAAAAGACAAATGTGGAAGTGCACACACATGTGTACTGCAATGAACACTTGGTAAGCAAATATCACTGACAAGGCATGGAAATTCTCACCTCTTACCATTATGTTTTTGTGTGGCAAAATATTTAAAAAATGTTTTAGTGTTTCTAAGCCACAGACGGTCATATACACAAGAGCTCTACCATGCAACAAAGGTCAATACCAATAAAATTTGGTATGGTAATACTTGTGGTAAGGACTTTCAAATTAAATGGAGGCTACGCAGTCATTGATTAATTCATCTGGCAAGCTCTTTCCAGAATGGATCACGCCTTTGAAGCCGGTGTTACATTTGTGGCTGCTGTGAGATCTCTTTAAACACTAAAGAGGTTTGGAAATCTCATCAGGGAATACACAGGAAGGTGAGACCTTCTGTGTGTGACCAATGTGGAAAAACTTTTCAAACACAAACTGCTGGTCATTTTCATTACAAACACTTTTACACCACTGACCGATAAGACCAAAGTCCATTTTGTGAAAGGGCAGAGTGCAAGAAAACCTACATGTTCCAATACCAGCTCAAGATGCAACAATGACACTCACTGGTGAAAAGTTGTGTTTCATGTGATTAAGCCTTTAGAGATTGGGGGCACTCAGTAAGACACAAGAAAACTCTTACAGATAAGAACCTCACTAGTGAAGCATTTTAGACATGGATTTATTCAGCTGTCAAACCTGAGGTGGCACTTTGCAAAACATGGTGCCAGTGAGACCATTGCCTTGTTCTCTTTGTGACAAGTCTTTTTGTCATAAGCAGGATCTTCAAAGGCATCAGCTATAATGCACTGGACAGAGAGCTTACAAGTGCACTCTGTGTGTCAAGAGTTGTTGACGAAAGACATGGCTGAAATGACATTGACCAACCAGCATGGCTGTGACAGTAAAAGAATGATACTATTCATCAGTAATCAAACAGTGCAATGACATCATAGAGTAAGTACCATTTTGGCATAACAGTTAATTTTTCCACAACATTGAATGACACAAAGTTATGTAGTAATGTTTAACCCTTTAACTCCCAAGATCTGATTGTTAATTCTCTCTTCTAGTTGTTACACATTTCCTTGTTAATAAGTTACGAGAATTTGGTGTTAGATCAAGATAACAACTTCTACCTGATACATTTGAGTATTCTCATTACTTGTTTGCTAGATAGTGAATGGATATTGTAAGGAGAAGTGACTTGTTTATCACTGCTGGGAGTTAAAGGGTTAAATGGTCATCAGCTGAATTATGCACAGTTTTTGATTGGTTCTTATTTGTGAGTTACAGGAGAACAGACACATTCATGATGTCATTATCAACAACATCTTTCTTTTTTTATCGTATGAAACAAATAGATTCCATGTTGCTGTGAGTCCTTACTGGTGGGAATACAGGTAGTGCACAGAAGATGTCAAAAATATGGCGAGAATGTCAGTGACACACTTGGCTGTGCCTGTGTGCCACATTTTTGTTCTTAAGTCATTTGTGATGCATTACCAGACTGCAATAACTTATGTCATCTGTGATGCATTACATTACAGAAAATATGAACTTAAATATGGAATTTATTTGTCAATCTGATTATGGCAGGAACTAATGTTTACAACAAAAAAACACTCCTCTAAAATTATTGAAATTAGACCTTTCACCTTTTTTTTTGGGTAGGGTTGTACAATTTTCTATATAACAATGCTTGTAGTATCCACTGTGCACGGCAGGTAGAGATGAATAGGGAGAAGCTGGTCAAATCACAGGGTAGACAGTAGTTGAGTTGCATTACAGAGACCTGGGATGAGAAAGTGATGCCAGATTTCAGGGACTGGTGATTTATAAAGAGGCAGAGGAGGGGGGGTCAAAGCTTTTTCAGATTGGCAAAAGGGGGGGTGGGACCTAAACTTTTTATTGAGAAGTTAAGAGGGGGGGCTGTAGTTTGAGGTACATTTTAAGAGTGGTCCATTGCCCAAGGTGGGTGTTGTGCAAAGTAACCATCTTACAGTTGTATGTGTCATGGATTTTAATAATTACTAGGCATATAAGGAGATATACGAGGTGAAGGGGGGGTGGGTCATTGCATAAATATTGAATAAAGAAGGGAGGGTCACTAGCTATTTACATGGCCTGGAGGGGGGTACTTATGGTTATTTTTATCTTTCTAACATATATTTCCAGCCCTTTTCTCCTCTACCTAAATGTAACACCTTAGGGTGGACAACTTGTGCCGTCTAATCTCATTGCTCCTCATCATCCTTAGTCATTCTTGTTCAATTTTTTGGTTTATCCTTTCTTATTAGCTGTTAATCTACTCAGCCAATTGTTATTAACCCTTTAACTCCCAGAAGGGATTAAAATAGAACTTCTCCCTACAATATCCATACATTCTTCAGCAAACAGGTGATGAGAATATTCAAACTTATCAGGTAGAAGCTGCTATCTTGATCTAGCACCAAGTTCTCGTAACTAATTTACAAGGAAATGTGTAGCAGCTACAGGGGAGAATCAACAATCAGATCTTGGGAGTTAAAGGGTTAAGATGTTTCCTTCCATTCAAGGTAAATTCTTTTTCATCCAATACGACCAATGGGACTGGTTTTTAGTTTTTAAGCGCTTGTATGATAGAAGAACTGTTTATTTTGTTTGTCTCTATGTTGTGTCGTTTTACTTTGTTTGTTTTTGTTTTCCTTTATTTCGTTTTGTCCACCATCATCTCAAATTTCAAATCCGCACAGAAACTGGGCTCGAGATTGTTAGTCTTACAGATTTCGCATCTCCGAAAGTGAGCAAAATCCAAACATAAGATCAAAGGGGAAAAGTCAAAAGTATTATGCAGGGTGAGGAATCAAAGAGGACCAGTATGGACGACAGGAGGAAATAATTTCTTCTTTTAATTTCCTTTCGTAACCATGAAAAAAGGAAAACATGAGCCGAAATCAAAAACATGTTTTGTTTCACGGTTTTTTTTTTGTAGAGGAAATGAATGACAAGAAATAAAGACATGCTATATTTAGGTACAATCGAATATAAGTTTCAGTGAATAATCGGTTGTTTTGATCTTTTTGTCTTGAAATGTTCCGGGATCCAAAATGAAAAAAGACAAAAAAAAATTGAGCAAAATATAACAGTGGCATAGTACATGCGATGAAATTTTTTTGGTTTTCTAAACTTGTATGCACCCGCCTTACGATTAATTTTTAAAAATTAGCTTTTGACACAAACTTCGCAAACAGGAGGTAATTAAGCCTGATCTGACATGAATTTTATCAATATTTAGTTTTTAGGGGGTTTTAAAGATGTCTCTTGGGCAGACTCGGCGCTAAGCCAAGACAATTGCCGGAGTCTTCGAATAACAGCGCGAGTTGAAGAGAAAATACAATATCCTTCTTTTGCGGTCTCTTTAACACACTTAATTTTTGGCAAAATCTACATTTTTCCATATCGTCATTCAGATCAGCAGCAAACCAATTGAACGGTTTATTCGTTTTATGCGTGGTGTCGATGATTTTCGTTGTACAGTTCCTGTTTTGCGCGGCGAAAATCTTTTCAGTTACCGTCAAAACGCTCAACTCTTCTCTGTGTGACTTGGGGCTGATCAACTGAGCATGCGTCGTGAAGAGCCCGGAGGTGTATACGTGAGGTGCTAACCTTTTGGACACCGCACCAATGTCAAATATCTTTCATGTCGTTTATTAATTGTTTGTTTTTTTCATTCCGTCCTCCTAACATTATGGAATTTCAAAGTTAGGGGGGAAGTTGAAATTTTCTTCGAGTTTTAGGCCGCTAACCTTGATAAAGGCGAAAACACGTCGACTTTGTTGACGAATCGACGGCTTTTGTCGTGAGTTCTCGACCTCTTTGGAGTAATTGTTTCCCGCATGAAGATGTTATCTTTGCTTTTGCATGTTTTTTCAATAAAAGCAATTGTATCAAGACCAGCCTGAAGGAGAAAAATTTACATGTGTCAGGCTTTTGTCTTTAAGCAATTAAAATGGAATGAACCTTTAAGGACTTGAAATTCGCATAAATGAACGTCACTAGGGAGACTTAAAGTCTAATAATTCACTTGCTCCTCGGCGTAAGTAATTTTCATTGAATATTTGTAATTTTTTGGGGGAAGAATTGCCTTTTAGACTCTTTACCACTTAAGAATTTCATTCAAATCGATATTCCAGTGACAGGGAAGTTTTTTTTTTTATCGTCGAGGGATCATTAATCCTTTTAATCAGGTTTTGAATTTTGAGGGTAGAAATTTTCATGGACATTTCAGCCAATATGTAGGGGTGATTCCATATGTCTGCCTCACTTATCAGTAGAAATTTTTGCCCTTCGTAGCTTAAAATTATATTAGACTCACCGGACCAAAACGCAACTTTATTACGCAAGATAGTTGATCAACTATCCAGACTTGTTATTGACCGAATGCCTTCTCGCGGCACGGTTCGTTGCAGTTGTTGCAGCGCTAGTTCTTGCAAGATCTGGATGTCAATTCATCACTGCCACTTCATCACAGCAAGATCTTTGCCCGCTGTTTTGAGGAAAGGTGACCTTACCTTCGACTCACAGCGTGTGTGTTTTCTGAGCTGGCCATTAAGTAATTAAGTTAATTGTCTTGTTGCTTCGGATTTGCCTGCTTGACGAATACCTTTCAACCTCAACTTTACTTTCATTTACATTGTAGGAAGAAAACTCAAAGCGACTTCGATAACACGTTGGAGGGATGCAGAGGTTTTAGTCCTTAAGAGGCGACTCATAGGACGCTAGCAGTTTTTAACTTTTAAAATTATTGCCGTAATTATCAAGGGCGAGAAGTGATTGAGCCCGGCCACGAAGTACCAAACAAGAAAGCTTTGTCACACAAATTGTAGACCCTGGATTGAAGTTTTACAAGAGGCTTAACTCGAGATGGGATCAGTGAACCATGAACTACAGTTTCTTCGGAACAACCAGTTTTCAGGGGATTTGGAGAATTCAGAAGTCCAAGCACTACGAAAGGAACGGCAGATATCGCGAAAGATTTTGGTGTTTGCCTGCACCGTGGCAGTTACCGGATTTGTTTGCCTGGTCATCGGCATTGCTTTGCTTCGAATGAACAGGCTCGATGAGCATATTTCTACGAAGCCCGACAACAATTGTGCCTCAAATGGAGGTGAGACGAGCGTCATAACAAAAACGACGAATTTCACGCAGAGTTGCAGTTATTCCGAAGAGTTTAAGAAATCAGGTACACTTAAAGTTACATTAGTTTTGTGTTATTGCATTAAAAGTTATTCTAACGCAGGAGCGAAGCAATTTACTACCCACCCACCAAAATTTACCTTCATTGAAAGTGAGAACCATTGATTAGTTGTTTTACAATTCAAATTAACGGATCGTTTTCTGATATAACTCGAAAACAGAGAGCTAAAGTAGTTTTTGGTCAATTAGTATGTCAGAGGTCAAACCAAAATGAGTTTGTCAAGACTTGCAATGTCACTGTACAAGAATAAAAAGCTCGTTTCGCATAAGATCTCGAAATCTTACGACGTTTATAACAGACCTCTGTATATTACAATCTAAAAATAACACAACCATATTAATTTCTGACTTTCATCATGTATATATTCTTTTAACTTTTTATGCTTTTTGTGAAATGAATAATTGAAAGTCGTGTTTTGAATCGTATTCAAGAAGCGTTTTTTTTTTTGGTTCGTTTATCGTTGCGAGTTGAAAATAATATAATTTTACTTTTCTAAAAGGAAGTGGAAAATGTTCCCCTTTCGGGCCTCCGCACAAACATCTTGAATCATATATCATCAAACTTGTTTCCTCAAGCTACAAATTAGTTGTCAGAGTGTCATGATACTGAAGGGCAAAAAGTCAACAAAGTGATGATTAGTTTGTTCGCAAAGTTCAACAATTCTATAATTAAATTTGACTGAACTCGATTCGCCATTGCTGGCGAATTCTTCACCTATTTAGCTCTTAGATATTACTTTCTTTTGTCGTCACTGCTTTGATTAAAAATGATAAAAACCAGAAAAAAACCGTAAATGATTTAATATTCAGATAGAGGATAATTGGAATATCACGAGGAAAGATTTTTCTTGTATTCTACAACGAAGAAGGACAATAAAACTTCCAAGTTATGCCAGTGAAAAGGTTCAGATTTGCTCTTCCGTCCTAATGAGCTAGTCTGTCAAATTCTCTTTTGTTAGGAAAATTAATGACCGTATCTGCTTTACGTCTGAAGAATTTTATAGCTGTTTTTAACCAGTTCGGCTATCAATCAGGAACAATCGAAGGCAAAACAACTCTAAATGACATTGCTGACTGGAGAGAGAGTAATAATTTACTAAATAGTCGTAATCGATTGGGTATTGTGCGATAGACTGTAAGTTATCAACTGATTGCCGCCGTTCTGTTATTCATCTAGCAGAATTTTTCTCCCTCGAAATCCAATTATTTTTTTTTGTTTTTAGCGTACCCAAAGTCGTTAGTCACTCCTACAAAATGGACACATCGTCGAGCAAAGAAGCATTAACTCATTGGTAAAATATATTTAATGGCGACTAAATTAGTTGTTGCTAACACATACATTTTGAAACAAAAAAACGCAAGACAAAAAAAAAAACAGCCATTCTTTCAAAGCGACGCACAGGCGTCAGCACTTCAGGAATCGATTAATACGAGTAGATTGTATGGTGCCAATAAGCGATTCTTGGAATTCAATCGAATGACACGTAATGAAGCGTTTTCGTGACCTAAACTTCATAGCTGAAACTTTAAATTGAAGTTGCGCAATGCTAACGCTATCATCGTTTAGAAGCTAAGTTTTTAATTTGCCTCTTAATGGGTCTCCTTCCGTTTTAATATTCGCCTTGGTTTGGTACCAAAAAAAACGAAGAAAAAAAATTTAAGAAAAAAGCAAGAATGATACGGCTATAAAATTTTAAGTCTATATTGTCCATGATCCTTTTCGTGTTTAATTTTTATTCCACATTTACTTTTAACTAACACCATTATGAACCAGAACAGACCTTGTCGCTGCACTCTGCCCGACCATAATAATTAGTCATTTTTTTTTTAATTTAACTGAAGAGAAATATGGAGCAAAATTTTTACATGACAGAAAGCTGAGGTTCGGAAACATTACTCTCAATTTCTTCAACACTTTCCAGTGAGAAGTCGAGGCGTATTAAGTCGAGCGGGTACCCAGACAATTTTGACCTTTCAGTAAAAGTTGAGAGTACATAGATATTGAAAGCTAAACATAATTTTAGCAACACTTAGGGCCATAACACAAACACAGAGGATAAAAATAGAAAGTGTAAAATATCAGCATGACGGGCCACACTGGGAAAGGAAAATTAGAGACTTAATTGACACTTTCTCCATTTACCACAAGCGTGGACGGGTCAAGCTATGAAGCCCCAAAACGCAACAGAGCACGATTTTTTCTGCGCGTGCATGCAAGGAAAGTTTCCGTTATTTTGTTTTTTTTTTTTTCAACTTTTGTGGTATAATTTCATATCTTGTTAAGACTATGCTGTACACAACTGCAACTACATCGGCTGAGAACATGGCAAAAATTCAATTCTGCTTGTACAAGAACTACATGTAAAGTTAATTTGTCTTTTTGAAAACGAGAAGTAGGTCTCCCGTAACTAAAATTTCTTCTCTCTGAATTAGCAGAGTCGAATTACGGACAAAATTTTTAGCTTTACGAATTCACGTGTTGCCATACAAAATCGAGCGATATAATTAGTTATTGACCTATATTGGCCGATGTTGAGTAGTATAACTAGGCTAATATTCAAGTGCCTCTTTCGAAAATGTGACTCTACGGGCGTGAATATTGATTTCATAATCAACAAACGCTGAGCAAGACAAAGCAATTTTTCTTTCAGGCTGATTTCAGAATTGAGGAGATCTGGAATTAAATTTTTTGAGCATGAGTCGAGGAGATGCAGATCTTAAACCAATCACGCTCGCGTTTTTCCGCACCCGAGGCGGTTTGCTTGTTTTTACAAAGAGTTCCTAATAGCTCTAAAAGGTATTTTGTATTTTACTTTTTTCCGATTGGCTGCTGCCGTTTTTCGGAATCACCTTTCGCCCGGTACTTCATGAAAGCAGTCAAGAATGGTACACGAAAGTAACAACACAGAGTTAAGCAAGTCTACATTTTCACCCGCAGACAATCGCCCACGAATGCATGCACTCCTCAATGGCTTTGATCTTAATTGTCTAAAACCCACGACATTACATCTTTTAAGTTCCTCGAAATACTTTGTATTTATTAGGATTTTCGCTCCTGGGTTATTAAGAAGGTATTTAAAAAATTGAGTAGGTGTTGATTTTTAATAAAGAGAAAGCGTGGGTTTTTGAAAATAGTCTATGAGCGATTTGTAGCGTAAAAGACATGCACCAAATGTAATCCTTGTATCTTATTTTTAACACTAACACAATAAACCTTTTTTGATTCCATGTGTTTCATGCGAGAAGTGAAATGCAATAGATTTGTCAGTCAACGTGTTCCTGTTTTTTGCTTGCGCAATTCCCTTTTTTCACAAATGACAACAACATCGGTTATTAAAGGCAAATCAACGCCTGAAGATATTATCACCGCCACACATCGCTATTTCCACAATTAAAATGATAATTAGGTCTGCGAAGTAATTCTAGATGCTTCGAGACACTTGAAAAAAAAAAAAACCACACGGTCGTGAATTTATCTTAAAATTGCAATATTTACACTCGAGGGAATTCCCCGTTATTGCAATTCTCCTTTTTCGTAGTGAGAGAGAAACAAGATCAGTTTTCGTCTCAGAATAAGATACATAACTCTCTAACTCTTTGATCCCTGAGAGTGACTAATCCTATTTTTCCTTACAATATCACCCCTGAATCAATCATTAAGGTGACGACCGATTAAGGAAATGATCACTATAGTAAAGAAACTCTTGATCGTAAAAAAAAATCTCCTTGTTAGCACCTAAAGAAATGTATAAAGAACAGTATGGAGAATATACATGCTGATATCAGGATGTGAAGGGTTAACAGGTAAAGCATTCAATTCATGTTCTCTGTGGCTGATTAATTTAATTGCACGATAGCAAAGCGGGTCTAATTTATTATTGTCACGCAAAACAAAGCAAAACAAAATTGTTGGTGTAGACGAAAACTGGGAAAATTTATCTCCAGTAGAGACACTGTTAAATGTTATAAATTCGTTGTGTGTGAAAAGATTCTAAACTTCTTTCTGTTGTTTTTGCAGGCCTCCTAAAATTTGTAAACAAATTGAAAGAAACGTTTTACAAGCTGCATCCTTATGAAGTACCTTACAAGCCACGAGTATCGACGGATGAAGTCAGAAAGAACTTCAAAGCATTTAATCCGATTCCTTCCAGTATAAAGGACATCACGGACACATCAAGGTCATTATTACAAGAGCTCAGTAAACTACATATTAACATTGGGCTGCTGAAGACGAGAGAAGCAAAAGCACTGGCTGAGATGAAACATTTCCTAGCGCATAATTTTGGCAATGTTTATAATTTTGATTATTATTCAGGTACAGACTTAGTTACTGTGTCTTTATAAAGCCATTTTCAATTGAGTGTGGAAAGTAATCCACGATTACTTTAGTTATGCTCTATTTCGTTCTGTGATTGATCAAGACTACTCGCGCGACTGCCTTACAAATCACATTCAAGACTAAACCGAACGAAGCGCGGGAAAACGTCGTGATGAAGACGCTGTTGATTTCAGTTCTACGTCTGATTGGTTGAGAAGGTGGTGCAAATTTTTTTGGACCAATCACTGCGCAAATTAAAACAAAACCAATTGCCTTCTATAGCATTGTTGTTTTACCCTGTGTTTTTACTTTTGAGGGTTATTTAGTATCATCAACTGAGTTGTTAACGTAAATTGGCCACCGTAAAGAGTTTAGCTTTGAAAACCAACGCAGCACCACAGTTTCTTTAGAAACTTGCCCCTTTATTCATTTTTACTTTGGAGTTTTCTTTAGGGGAATGGGTTGGCTTACTTGAGTGTTAACGGTATTCTGTAGTTTGCTTTAAGTTCAAATTAAGTTCTTAGCGTCAAGTTGTTCTGTATGATTCTGTTACCTGTCACGTTTCACGCAACACGCAAGTTAGGTTTCCCATAGTGCATTTCAGTATTAATTGTATTAACCACTTGTTCGACTGATCGGCCATGTTGATAATTATTACTTATTACATGGCCGATTATTCGAGCACATGGTTAATAAAATTGATACTGAATGCACTATGGAAACCCAACTTGCATGTTGCGTGACATGTGACAGGTAACAGTTCTTGCACAACTTTGAAAACTGCTTCCGGCTTGAAGGAAGTTACGTTCATTTCAACCCAGTAAGGTATCAGCAAGGGTGACTGAGAATGAAAAGGATTCAAAGGAAACGAAAACGTCTTCTGGAACGCTCGAAATTGCCTGACCTTCTGCCTGTAGTTCACTGATCCAGGTCAGAAATAGACTACGAGCAGTTCCTACTTTTCAACGAAGTCTTTCCCTCAAGTAAACAAAAATAATTAAAAAATTGGTGACAGCGCGCTTGGGGAAAGTCTAGGGGTGACCCCTTTTTCCGAGCGTCTGGCTCTGAGAACTCCGCGCAGAGTGTACATTAGGAAGGAAGGACTGTTTGTAGTCTAAGTCAGAAAAGGAAAATATTTTGGGGATTTCTAGTGTTTGAAAACGTTTGTCTACTTTTCCAGGTCAGTGGATGCTCGGCCCAAACAGATTTTGTTACGTGGATGTCATTGCCAGACTACCATATCACTTTCGTATGTTCTTGAAAAAGTTGTCCCCATCAACAATAGAAGATATGCAGACCATCATTGAAGTTCTAAAAGGCTTTGGAAGAGGAATTGAGCAGTACAGAGAGAACATCGAACGTGGAGTCAGAACTGGAATGGTAGGCTCTGTCGAAGAGTGTCGAGTGGGACTGGATTGTTTAACCCAGATGTATCCGAAAATTGGGGACAGTCTACGGGAAGAAGACATCATGATGGAATCATTCTCAGATCCATTTCTGACGTATAGGTTTTACCAAAGATTTCAGAAGGTGGAAGGGCTGTGGTCACGGAGAGAAAATGTGTCTTTAGAGTACTCGATGGCGGACAGTTTGATTAGTTACGTGGGCATTCCTTTGGTGAATTTAATGCGATATCTTAAAGAGGATCACATGAAGCATTGTGTGCCTAGTAACGTTTCCAGCGGACTGTTTAATCGCCCGTTGCATTATGTGTACTATAACGGGATTGCTGATGTTTCTAAGCCCGCGAGTAGAAAACTGCCCAGCGGTGAAATAATCGATGGGAAGGCTGGGTACGAGAGAACTATGCGATTTTTTACAACAACAAATCACACAGCTGGTAAGTGAACGCAGTTCCTTATATAATTTTTCATACCTCTGACCACTTGACTGCAGCAAAAGTTATGAGGTGTATTATAGCAGTTGATGTAGCATGTGCAGCTGTCACGTGACTGTTATATGCGCGGGAAAGTCACTTCAGTGCTGTCCGTTCATACAACTATGAACTGACAGCGCGTAAGTCATTTAGCAGACGCTGTAATGTTGATGTTACCATTGTTCCAACTTGCTTCACGGCATGAAAGCGCGATTAAACTATGCGAAAGAGACTGAGAAAGTGAAGTACTTAGCCCTAGAAAAATTAATGCTATGTAGATTCCTAGGATTTGCGCGTTTTTGCAAACCTGTGGTGTAGTATTTGACGAAAAAAATTACACCACAATGGGAGGAATTTATGGGGGAGACCCTTAGGACCTCTTGGGTACACCCTTGAATACATTATCACTTAACCTGATCTTCAGTCATTTTTTCACTTCCACAGAATCTGTTTACAAACTTGGTTGGTCCTTGTTAGAGTCTATTTATCCTCAAGTTTTAGACATAGCCAAGTCTGTCACGGGATTCACAAACGAAAGTAAAGCTGTGGAGTCATTTCGAAAGTTAGTCCATTCACCATCAATGTTCTTCAATGAGCAACCTTTCCCCAAAAACGAATCAGACGAGAGAGCTCATAGGAAGTGCAACAGTGAAAAAGGTAGTGTGACTTAAACCAGAACAATTTCTAACGAGGCATTCGGTCCTTTTTCACGTGGAGTAAAGATTCCAATCTCAACATGGGATTTACCAACTCACCTGGCAACAGAAGTAAAGAAATGGTCATCACAGTTGAGCTGCAATTTAAGAAATGAGGGTATTCGAACCCAGGCCTCCTAGATACAAGTTGAGGGCTACCACTAACTAAGCTACGAACCTCATTTTGGGAGCGAGGCAAATTTTAGAACATTCTTTGTTACCGTTAAGGAATCTGAAAATATCTTAACGAGGACGGCGCGAGTTTTTTTTTCTTTTTTTTTTTTTTACCAATCACTCATCGGTATAAGACAAAACCAAAGCAGTCCGGAATTACTATCGATACTCCAATGAAACTGACTTATTTGTTGTATCTTCAATCATTGGTTCACCTCAAGGGCCTTCAATAACCGTTTCAGATTACGAGTTGTGCTGCCAATTCGGACTACTCAAAATCTTAAACTCGCTACCAATTGGCTGTAGACTGAACTGATAATGACAGGCGTGACCAAAAAAACACCACCTGCGCTGCTTAGTATTTCCTTTGAATCTTTACAAATGACAGCGTCGTAGGCTTAAACCGCATAATTTCAATTGCTTACTGTCGGGCTGTCTGATCCAATATTCAACTTCAGACGGCTCCTCTGGAACCTGGGCCATCTGCAAGACGCTACAACTTTTAATAATTGTTGATGCGCTTATTCTTTCAAATTTCAGCTGCGCGGGAATTCTGTCCAGTGCGCTATGCCGCTATGCAACGATGGTTCAAGTTTTCTCGCAGCACTCTCAGTCAAATTGAGCCCAAGCTCTTGCAGATGTTTCACTGGCCCCTAGGCCCCCGGAAGACCACGCCCGTTTGCCCTGTTGCCATCGCAGTGAATTTTATGCCGACTTCTTCGGCACAGACTTACACTACAAGTTATCGGACCTGCAAGAAACCGGCGTTTTTCCGAATACCTTTCTTTCTGGACCGAATGGGCCCAAAGTATTCCGAGTGGACGACGAGTGCTCACGAAGCCAGGCCTGGTCACCACCTACAGTCTCAAGGTTACGTGGAAAATTTTCTGTAAGTTTCATTCGTGAACCAAGTCCATCAATTTACCACACGTTAAGGGTAAAATTGCCGACGGAACCTTAGATGTACTGATATTCCTAGAAGAGCGTCGTGAGCCCCCTTTCTCTTTTCATTTCTAGCCCGTAGATAAAGTTAAGCGTTAATCTGAGCGCCATATTCTTTTCCAATGTATGTTTCTAAGTTACGTCACCTTTGCTTTATCTGCGCAGGGACTGGTGCGGCCCAGTAGTAAGTGTCTTGATCAAGAGCAGATATATTGCTTACTCTGAGGGGTGGGCACTTTATGCCGAGAATCCTCTTGTTGCTAAGGAAACGGGTAAGATTTGATACATTTTAAACCTAATACTCTGACTGAGTACCTCAGAGCGACTCTGAGTTATCTTGATCATAGTTCAAGTTGGTTTTAGATCCGTTCAAAGTTCAATTCAAAGAAAACGTTGTTCAAGAGTTTGTCGAGTATCATGCTCTGCAGACAAACAGAGTGGCATTGTTGAGTGGCATTGAAAACTTTACGGATAACAATCGATTAAAATGTTTGTGAATTTCATGATTTAATTTCGAATAGGATGTTTTGAAATATTTTTGAATAGCACTCTCCTACGGCTCGTGAAACACATCCCGTGCCCATAAATGAAAGTCCCTTCGCGTTCATATTGTTTCTTACAATACTAGTCTTGGAAATTTGAGGCATAACTGACTGTCAAATCATGTAGACATCACTGTTGGTTTCAATTAGTGCTTCACGCACTTATAACTATTAGGGACCTTTAGCAGTTAGGACGGCAACGCTAAGGAAGACGTCGATTTAAAAATGAATATATATTTTTTGTTGGAATTTCGCGAATGACTGGATGTGTTTATCATCTCGTGCGGCGCTGCAAGTTAACCTCAGCATAACGTATGAGAGCGGCGTTGAGTTCCAAATGGAAACTTAAATAGTTTGCTGTCAGCGTTTCCTTTCCTACACTAGGCAAATTTTGATGATTTCATGTCGTTATTTTAAAGAGGACAGCTAAGAAATGTACACAATTTGAAAACGCACCTGCTACGTTATTGTTCAACTCATTAGATCTTTTGTTTTGCCTCGTCCTCGTTGACGTCGCCGTCGTGGTTTGCTTAAGGTCCCTAGTATCGTTGCCGTGAAAGGAACTGAAAAAGTACATGTTATTGGGGACCATTTACTATTTATCCCCTGGGAGGGGAGGGAGGGGAGGACGATCGGAGGTTTTGGGAATCACATGGTTTTCAGAGGGAACAGGGGGGGACATCAGTCGTCGTCAACAGAGTATAAGGCGGGGCTATAGAAAATTGACTGCCAATTACCTGCCACTGTGGGCAGATCATAAGGATATTACAGATCCTTAGGGGAGGGGGTCGGGTAAATTCTATCGAGACTCTACCAAATTGCTGGATCTTAACTATCACACAGATGTTTACAACGACAATCCACTGAGACGATATGGAATGCTGAAATGGCAAGTATGGCGGGCTTTGCGTCTGATCGTCGACACAGGTCTACATTTCATGGGCATGACACGTGATCAAGCCATTCAGCTGTTTAGCGACTACGCTTGGGACGACACAGATGTGGCTCTGAAGGAAGTGACACGATACCAGAGCGGTCCTGGGCAAGCGACTGCGTACATGATAGGCCAGCAGGCTTTTATAGACATGCGAGAAAACGCCCAGAAGAAACTGGGGTCAAAGTTTGACATACGGGACTTCCACTTTTACTTGTTATCGCAGGGGCCTGCGCCCCTTGATTACGTGGCTAAACAAATTAACAATTACGTGGAGTGCACCTTAAATGGAACCTCTCCTGGTTGTGAACAGTTTCAAACATCTGCGTATGAGCGAATGCGATTCGCCGCAGGTCAGGGATACGATTCTGAATTACAGTGGGATCATCTGGAAGATTTTTATTTTCCTCCGGAAATACACGAATTATAATAATGAGCTTGGCTGATTTTCGTTGCTAAACAAATGGAAAATGAATGATGTAGGGAATAAAGTTTTATGCTTTGTACCCTTTACGCGGGCTTAATCTTCATGAAAAGCACAGGTCCATCGGCTTTAAAACATGAGTTGTAGTGTATTTCCAATGAGAGGGAACAGATGGATAAATGGAATACTATTCCAACAAAAAATGGAGAGTTTCAGTGTCGTGCGAGTTTGTTGAATGAACGTAAAATGAACTTACAAAGTCATATCAAGTTTAAAGTCCCCTCCCCCCCCCCACACGACATATGATTTCCTTTTTAAATGGCGTACCAATAGCGAAATTTTCAATTGAGTGTCCAATTTAACCCTGCAATGCATTTGTTTTTATGACGCACTGTGATCAGAGAACATAGGCATGAAAATGTTGCAAGATTTTAATTTTTTTCCGATTCAATGTATAGTCAAAATAAGCTCCCGCAGAGAAAAAAAAGTCCTGTAAAAACACGCTGTTAAATATTTATACCTCTAGTCAAATTAATTTGAATTCTCATCGACCATTTTATTATGGACTGCTGGGATAACTTTCGTTTTGAGTTCGCAACACTCAAAAAATGCGCTTTTAAAGGAAATGAATTGGGGCTTGAATGGAGCAAAACAAATTAGCCCTTGGCAGTGTTGAACGCGGTGAAACATAAGTTACTTAACCGCGTTCAAATGATCCTACTCGTGTAATTTTCCGAGAATGACGGGAAAACAAGTCGTGATTTAAAAAACTGCTCTAATGTGATGGTACATTTTGTACATAAATATAATTTATTTAGAGAAAATTGCTCTTAAAATAAATGACGCCCGAGTATGTACAGGGAATATGGATTTGTAGAAATATCACTTGTAGAAATTGTTTGATATCCTAGGGATACAGATGTGGAATGAATAACATGATAGATTTATTAATGATATGATAAGCTGAATTACGCTATCATTTTGATTGGTTCTTACCCATGATGCATTGGAGGGCAGACGCATAGATGACGTCATCATAAACAACATCTTGCTTTTTCATCATGTAAAACTAATGATTTCCATGCTGTCGTACGTCTGTTTAGTAATCACTGATCACGGAGGCGTCAAAATATGATAAGAACGCTTGTAACATACTCGGCTGCGCCTCGGCCTCGTGTGCCACTTGGTTATTCTTACCACATTTTGACGTCATCTGTGATCTATTACTGAAAACATGGACGGCAACATGAAATAAATTTGATAATTTATCAACGAGTTGATAACGTGAATTGGCACGTTAGTGAGTTTAAAAGCTGACGTTTCGAGCGTTGGCCTATCGTCAGAGCGAATGCCGAAGGGCTAGCGCTCGAAAAGTCAACTTTTTAACCCTTTACGGAGGCCAATTCACGTTATCAACTCGTTGATAACATTAAATCACCCTGTTATACCCTCCCACCGACGCAGCACCGCAGTTTCTCGAGAAACTTACCCCTTTTTGAAATAGTGATTGTAACCAATCGGATTGCAGCATTTGTTGGAGAAAGCGTCAGTACTGAATAAATAATAGTCTTCATTTGGCACGAAATTACGCTCGGATAAGTTTCCGTGAAGATCATCTGCTCCGAGAAGTGAACAAGCAAACTAATCCTCGAGGAATAGTTGATGTCGAAGGTCAAAATTTTGAACGCATTTCCAAGCAAAACAGAGGATGTTTCGTTGAGACTGAGTTACTTCGTGTTAGAATTGATTTCTCTAACACTCGTTTGTGGTCTGGTTGATCCTTCTTTATTTGCTTCTCTTCTCAAGTTGTTACAATGGGGACTAGCTTCAATATATCAGGGAAAACTAGAGTCTCCGCTTATAAAGGTGTCACTGCGGATGACATTTCTAAGCCGTCAATCTTCTTGTGCTGTCATCGTACCATCTCAACTAGCGAATCACGCTTGACTACGTATTATAGTTCCCACATACTGAGCAAGCACCTTAGGGTTGTCTACGCAGTTACAAAATCAATTTCTTCCCTAATTTTCATATCTTTACGGTTGAGATCGGCCAGAACAGAAACGAGATCGACAATATAAAAATTACAAATAACCTTGGTGTAGAGTGTTATTTATACCTAAAAGTATATCTTAAGAGAAAATCACCTTTAAAGATTGTTACATAACAACATCTTGGTCACAAGAGTTAAAGAAGAAAGGCGCTCACAAGTACCGCCCCCAAATTGCTTCTTGTTGCGAAAACATGAGGGACATCACCTGTTTACCCTTAAATTACCTCTGGGAACACGAAGGTGTCGAACGCGACCTATAACCAGGGAGATTTACTCTTCCTGGACTAACAAATTAACTTATTTAAGAACACGGCCCATCACGAGTTCCATGTCAACTTCACGATCACAACGAAGAAAACGTGATTAAACTCACTAGGTGAACGTGGCCAAACTCACAAGAAGAACGTGATTAAACTCAACCTTTAAGATAAGACCACCAAGAAGGCGTACGAAGTAATCAACCTGCCCTTTTTATAATTTACATTAAATGACTTAGAATAATATAATATTTCCATTCCTTTTCTTTCTAACACCAGTACAGAAAACCCTTACGATATTATAGATTAACTATAATTGTAATTTTATCATTTAACATTCGTAATATAACCTGGTCGCTTGACGCATTTAGACCAATCGCAGATCATCGCTACGGATAGTGTTCAAATCATTATGATAAATCGTTCATAATGAAAAACTTTTCAGTTGTGCGGCTAAGTCATGTTATGGAAATTAGATTTCCAAAGAATATAATAGGGTTGCAGAATTCTAAACTGCGCTAAGGAAAATCTCTGCGGATCGCTGGTTCGACAATCAATAGGATCTTTATCTTTCCGATTTCTTGCGTTTATTTACAATCCATATAATATACGTACTTTCCACATTCAATCGATCTCGATCCTCTGTCACAAGATAGTGATTCTATTTATCTGCTATTACAATGGAAATACACTCCTAAACTCATGTAAAACCAAGATTGACTTTACTTTTTCGTAATTTACTAAAATTCCAAGCTATTTAATGTTGAATTGATTTTGACAGCTGTTTTACATTATACTCCGATCAACACTTCTGTAATTTACACCCGCACGCACGCACTATTTGCGACACGAATGGCCCATCACGCAACGTCACAGAATGTTCCAACCCAAACGCGAACGCACAATTTCCAGAGACAATTCCTCATCTAATTGTTTCAGACCATTATTGGTTTTCTGTATCACTTCTGCTGTGCGCAATCCGAACATTCTTGCTACAAGTCTGCCATTACCGTGCTACACTCAATTATACACCTAAATCTTAACCCAATTATCATTAAACCCCAAACTTAATCAATAAATTAGAGGGTAAAGTATCACGCGATGCGCTTACAAGGTTGTCGCGACAACTATCTTCAAATCTGTGTAAGTTTGCATAAAAAGAAAGACGTTTTTTTTATTTTATGGTTTCAACTGCTTGTAAATTGGTTCTACCACAAGTTTCGCTAAACTTGAATCTATTTCCACATCATAAGCGTGGCGACAGTAGGAAAGGGGGAAAGGAAAATCTCCCCTCTCCCTCGCCATCGGCCATTTCGTGGTAGTAGTGCTGATCACGACCCGCGGCAGAATGCCAGTTTGAGACGACATGCTTGAAAATGAAATCCTCAGCTTAGAGGGGGTCTTATCCCGTAGCTTGAGATAACAAACGTCTTGTCTGGCTGAACGCATTGAGACAGCAATTACATGTCGTTGTTATTTTGTTTTACCAAGGATCGCTTCGGTCAGCTGCAGCTCTTCAAAATTTTCCCTAGGCCCAATACCTCTCGTTCCGACGTGGACGACAAGGGCTGTTGGGCAGAAGTTTCCTTATTCAAGATGGCGGTGAGCGTAGAACTTTCTGGCGCTACTCTACACCTTTCTGATGTGGAAAGAAATCCCAAAGAAGTCTCTGAACGCGGAAAAGAAGCTAAAAAACAGCAGACAGGAACCTCTAGGATCGAGATATGCTGTAAAACCTTGGCTTTTCTCATTGTGGTATGCTTGATCTGCGTTCATTTCGCGCGTGTCCAGCGAGAAGGTAAGCGATAACTTTTTTTCTAGAGGAAATTGTTATCACATATTTCGTGACACAATGACATATCGAAACCGAATTTGTTCAGGTATTTTCGTACCTGGTTTTAGCAAGATTTCCTCTTTATTGGCCCTGTTTATTGTTGGGATTACTTGACACGTGTCAACTGCACTGCCGAGAAGTGTAAACAAAACATTTTTGTACTAATCATAGTATTTTTACAGCTGGAATTCTGAGTGAAGAAAAATTGCGAAACACCTGCTGTGTTTGTGTTTCTCCTTTTGTTAACTCGTCAGATCTTTACATCGTTTCGTTCGTATCTACTTTAAATGAAGAAATACAAAACTAAAAGTACAAATGTACGAAAATATTTCTACATTTTTTAAGGAATCCAGCTAGGTTCGTACTCGTATTTTAAGGGAAGCCATTGATCTTTAAAGCAACAAAAAATGAAATTAATCAATCTAGCATCCCCTTCTTTCAAAGTTTGTCCAGGTATCTATTTCCTTAGCAGGTTTAACGGTGTGTAGAAGCTTGTCTTCAGGAAGAATGTCATGATTCATAATAAAGAAGCCTAGTTTGAGCCGACATTCATTCCTTTACACCCTGGCACCAATATGAATATTCTCCTTACTATTCTCTATACATTCCCCTTAGTACTGACAAAGAGAATTTGTTTGACAATCAGGGGCTTCTTACATTGGTGATTATTTCCTTCATTCTCGTTATCTTCACATTTGATTGAAGGCTGATATTGTTAGGAGAAATTAAAAGCTGGTCACTTCTAGGGGACAAAGGGTTAATTAATCCAAGGGTTAGAAAATCAATGCAAAGTATTTTCTATTTGTGCCTAAAACTTAAGGTTATAAAAAAAGGGTCTAATACTAAAGGAAATACTAGAAGGAAATTAACCCTTTAACTCTCAGATCAAATTTGTAATTCTCCTTACTTTCAACCATACAATTCTTATAATGTTAGTTCAGAGAATTTAGTATTGGATCAACTAATTATCTCCAAATTGATATTTTTCTTTATTCTCATCACTTATCTGGTTGATATTGTATTGATATTGTAAGGAGAAATTCTGTCTTGGTCACTCATGGGAGTTAAAGGGTTAATGCTAAAATACTTTAAAAATTTTTTAGAGCTGTACAAGGTGAATTAAAACAGAACACAATTAAAGAGTCTAATATCTAATTTCTTTATTTACAGTACTGCTCACATATATATTAACTGGGCAGACAAATTTTATTTGCACATTTGCACCTTGTTAGATGCATTATATTAGCAGAACATTTAACTCCCAGAAGTGATTAACATGTAACTTCTCCCTTTATTACACCTAATTTGAAATCACTGGTGGTCCCTGTAATCTGATTGGCTCTCATTGGTGCGATTTATTCATAAAATCGCATCATTTTTCCAGCCAATGAGGAGGCTACACTGAAAACAAAACAACCCATCAGATTTCAAGGATTCTTTAAAGTAACCAATGTAATTGCAGGAAAATGAAAGACAAAGAGTAACATGTGACAAATTTTGCAACCTTTGTTTCCAAAACTCTTGATTTTCCCCCCTAAAGAAATGGATGAATTTAATTTCAAACTAGTTCAGTTCTGCATCAATAACATATTTGAACTGACCGAGTCCTGTATTTGGGCGATTTCAAAATGGATGTAATAAACTGGTAATTGAACCTCGTGTTGTACAATTTTGGTCTGAAATCATACTTGTGATTTCAAATCGAACTCACGCTGTGCGCTCGTTCGATTTTGAAATCACATGTATGATTTCAGCCCAAATTGCACTCCACTCAGTTCAATTACCATTATTTAATATCCATACATTATCCAAGAAAAAGGTAATAAGAATACTTCAACTTATCATGTAGAAGTTGTTTTCTTGATCTAGCACCAAATTCTTGCAATTAATTAACCCTTTCACTCCCAAGATCTAATTAGTAATTCTCCTTACTATCTGCCATACAATTCTTATGATGTTAGTTCAGAGAATTTGGTATTGGATCAACTAATAATCCCATAATTGATATTCTTCTCTATTCTCATCACCTGCCTGCTTGATATTGTATTGATATTGTAAGGAGAAATTCTGTCTTGGTCACTTGTGGGAGTGAAAGGGTTAACAAGGAAGTATGTCGCAGCTGTAGGGAACAATATGTAGAATATGCGTACAGATATAAGGGTGTCAAGGCTTATTGAAACATCAGTAAAATATATGGTTTTTTGTAATAGGCTCTAGTACCTGCCCTGCTATGTTTCAGTCTGGTCGCTGGAGAGGAAGCTTTTGGCAACCTCGTGGTTGTATGATGCATTCTTATACTTCAAGGTATGCTGGCAAGTTTACTGATCAGAAGTCATGATAGCTTGAAATGTGTATGTACACTTTATTTTGACTGCTGCTTTCAAGCTCAATGTACATCATAGATCAGTTTGAAAGGGATACGTCTTGCGGATGTAGCTTGATGTTGATATAAGCTTGTTTAAAAGTTCCTTTAATTTGACAGAAATACTGCGCATACTTACTTCTGCAAATGATTCAGTTTGAAATCTTAACCTAGTATTTTGTTCATCCTTGTAATTCCTACAGTTTGCTTAAAAGATAATTGATATAATTTTTTTCATTTTTTTTTAATGAATTATACACTTAAAGTCTTTATTTACAACAACATATTTTATTTACAGTTTATTAACTCTATTACAACACATTACCCACAATACATCACTTACTACGACGTGCTACTTACAATGAGCTGCTTATAATGAAATGCCACAGTTATTATATTATTTCCAATGTTAACATAAATTTACTGACGTTAGTAACATGAAAGTCATTATTTTATATATGTTTTAAGAAGCTGCTAGGCATACTTTTAATCCTTTACACCCTAATATCAGTATGCATATTCTCCATACTGTTCTCTACATGTTTCCTAACTTTCTGACAAGGAGAATTTGTTTAACAATCAAGAGTTTCTTTAGTTGGTGATCATTTCCTATACTCTTGCGACCTGAATGTGTGCCTCGAGTTTGATATAGTAGGGAGAAATTAGATATGAGTCACTCTTAAGGGTTAAAGGGTTAAGACTGATATTCCTGCACACCAGTCATGAGATCCACACTATTCCCCTTTTCAGGCTGTTTCTGGTAAAATTTAGTGCCTGTAGTATCTCTTCTTACTGTGTAAAATCACTTGAAATTCTCAAAAATTCCAGTTTAATGATTGCTCTCCTGGTTTGAAACTTTCTTTTACTAGTCTTGCTTAAAATAATGGAGAACACTGCCCTACAATGTCATAGTTTTTTTCTCAATTTTCATTACATACATCTTGTTGTATACTGCAATTAAAATACTCAGTGTGATTAAAATACTTCATGCAAAGAACTCTATTTCGTAAAATGCTCTGAACTTGGAATCTGCATAATTTTAGTTTAAATAGTTTTTTTTCCTTTTTTGAGTTTATTTATCTATATAGCTTCTTTATTCATTTTTGTATATCACTCTTGTTCCTGTATATTTAGGAATCAGGTTATTTAAACCTTAAGTCTTTGATGGTAAAACCTTCTCTCTACTTTACAACACCTTCCAAGATGATACTATCAATGGTTATTCAATATTTTTATTTTTGAAGTGAAGTGAGGACTTGTTTACAGAATCACCCAGTGGCTTTCATTGGAGATTCAAGAACAAGAGGCTTGTACTATGAACTGGTGGAGATGGTCAGGTTAAATGCAGTCACAGATCCAGGAAAAGCAGTAAGACATTTTTACTTGTTTTAAAATCAGTGATGTATAAACCAGGATTGTCGCTAGAAAGTGTAATAGATGTACATGTATAATCTGAGCTGAGTAGGTGGCTCAAATTATACACAGTAAGGATGTGCAATGCAAATTTACTACAGAATTAACTACCTTTACCTGCCAGCATTTTGTCACTTTTCCCAAAAGGCTTGCCAGTAGCCATTTAAATTATTGTGAGTTAGAGAGAGTCGTTGTGAGCATTTCCCAGGAATACAACGCAATGACCATGCTCTGTACCAAACCAAGACCTCTTGACCCAGAGTCCAGCAAGATCTCCCAAGATCTCATTAGTAATTCTCCTTACTGTCTGCCATACAATTCTCATGATAAAGTTCAGAGAATTTGGTATTGGATCAACTTATAGTTCTCTTATTGATATTTTCTTCATTCTCACCACTTGTCTGCTTGATATTGTATTGATATTGTAAGGAGAAATTCTACTGCAGTCACTCATGGGAGCCAAAGGGCTAAATAAAACTTGATAAGGGTTGTACATAGCTTTGTGCGTTTTCCATAACTGTTGTTTAATGATACAATTATGCAATAACACAATTTTGTTGTGTGATTTTATTTTGACAGCATAGTAATCTGTCTTACGTTGACAAGATGAGCAATACAAGTGTGGTATGTTTTCATAAACAAGATGTTTTCTATGATTCAATAAACTTTAATTATTTTTTTATAGTCAAGCACATCTTTGTTATGCAAATTATATGAAGATAGAGGAGAAAAATGTTGGGATTTTCCTTTGTTACATTCATTAAGAAATCATTGATGATCCTTGCAATCTGATTGGCTCTCATCAGTGTGAATTATACAGGAATTGCACCATTTTTTGCCCCAGATTGCTTCTTTTTTCCAGCCAACGAGAAAGCTTTTGATTAGTAAAACACAACATCCTATCTGATTTCAGGGCTTCTTTTGAAGTAACTAATAGACCAACCAATTGTTCAATTTTGAAATCACATGTATGATTTCAGACCAAATTGCACTCTGCTCAGTCCAATCACTTTAATTTATAAATAACCAAGGTATCAGACCACATTTCTGTTTTGTCGGACAAAAGTGGAAACTTGGTCAGAGGTAGAGAGTGACCTGTCAAGCAATATAATTATTTGCAGCCATGCAAATGGTTACATCTCCAGGTTTAAAATTATTCATATCATTTAAGAATTTTTCACTCTCTAAACCATTGTCTCCTAGTTTTCCTTTTACTGTAGAAGCTTGTTAAATCAAGTTGTTATTAAAACTGTCAATGGATTCTTCATTAAATCAGTAAATGCATCAAACAGATAATGGGAATACTCAAAGTTATCAGGTAGAAAATGTTGTTTTGATCTAACAACAAATTCTCATAGCTAATTTACAAGGAAATTTGTGCCAGCTAGATGGGAGAATTAACAATCAGATCTTGGGAGTTTAAGTGTTAAAGCCCACTCTGACAAGGGCAACAATTTGATTTTGTAGTTCTTTCACTGGCAACCTGAAGTTAACTTGTCTATGAAGGCACTGTATGATGGGTGGATCAAGGTAAAGTATTTTGTTTAACCCTTTGGCTCCCCAAAGTGATTAACATAGAAATTCTCCCTACAATATTCATACATTATCCTGCAAACAGATAGTGAGAAAACTCCAACTTATCAGGTAGAAGTTGTTATCTTGATCTAACACTAAATTCTCTTAACTGATTTACAAGGAAATGTGTAGCAGCTAGAGGGGAGAAGTAACAATCAGATCTTGGGAGTTAAATGGTTAATAAAACAATATGTCATTGAAGTTTTAATGAAAACTGTAACAAAATTGATACATAATCATATGTCTGTTAGGGTAGTGAAGATTTCTTGTTTGTAACTGGACAGTTGTATTCAACAGATTTACTTTATTATTAAGCTTTTGTACCTGTAGTTTCTTTTGTTTGTGGTAAATAATCATACAGTTCTCATGCAATAGTTTTTACAATGTTGTTTGGTGTGTGTGTGTGTGCATAGGGCAGTGCTGGTCAAATGATAAATTTTTCTTTTACTCTAATCAGAGAGTGAAAAGTAATGTTTTTCTTCCATTTATTTTCCCACAGAATCCACAAAAAAGTCCTCATCTTATTATCACAGGAAGTGGAACTGTAAGTTTACAAGAAATGTAAAATACAATGGTGTAGCATAACTTGTTTGTACAGTTTGCTCGGCAGACCCCAAGTGTTGTCAGTAACAGTCAAAAATTTAATCACGTTAGTTTAGTTTTCACTATTCACTGGTCACATTACGTACCATATGGCCTATGCTTGTTGCAGGTATCAAATGTGATGAGCCGCACACAAAAATTAATGATATAGAGGGATATTAGTTCCATAATAAATAAATGATAAATAATTAAGGAAAAAGAATTGATTAGTTGGTTTAGTTTTAACTCTTTAACTCCCAAAATCTCATTAATAATTCCCCTAACTGTCTGCCATATAGTTCTTGTGATGTTAGTTTGGAGAATTTGGTATTGAATCAACTAATAATCCCCTAATTAATATTTTTCTTTATTCTCATCACTTATCTGGTTGATATTGTATTGATATTGTAAGGAGAAATTCTTTCTTGGTCACGCATGAGAGTGAAAGGGTTAATTTTTGTTATTTCTTAATTTCAGTGGACTATTAGATACAAAGGACTAGGTGCAGCAATGAATTATGGATGTAAGTTGGCATTTTTTCTTTTAATTTGTTGGAGAATATTTTTTTGGATTAGATGACTGATCTAATGGTTACATTTTTTTACAGCTAACTTGACAAAGGTTAAAAGTTCAATGGAGACGTTAATTGCAAAAAAGAGAAATGAAAGCCAGCCATTGCTCAAGAAATGGAGTCCTTTTCCACCTTCTCCTGCTATTATCTGGATTCAACAAGGTAATGGGATATTGTGAGGGTGTGTCCACATTAGGGACCTTAAGCAGTCAGGACGGCAACGCCAAGGAAGACTTCGATTAAAAAATGAATTTCTGCCTGTAATTAGAATTTCATAGATGGCTGCATGTGTTTACCGTCTCATACGGCGCCACACCTCAACTACGGCTTAACGTATAAAAGAAGCGTTGAGTTCCAAATGGAAATTAAAATAATTTGCCGTCGCGGTTTCGGTTCGTAGACAACGCAAATTGTGGTGATTTCACGTTGCTGTTTTGCATAGGACGGCTAAGAAATGTACAAAGTTTTAGAATGCACGTGCTGAGCTATTGTTTTGCCAATTAGATCTTTTGTTTTTTCATGTCCTCGTTGCTGTCGCCGTCGTGGTTTGCTTAAGGTCCCTATTATAGTTACTGGTTACTACAGACTGGATTCATTTGGTAAACTTTTCATTGCTGTTTACAGAACCGGTTGTGGAAGCGAAGCTCCATGAGGCGCGCAAGATGATCACAAATGAGAAGATTGAACTTTTTAATTCAATCGTGGGAGAGATGTTGTAAGTTGATTGTTTTGTTTAATATCTGACTTTATTAAGTACATGAAAGGGGTAAGTTTCGAAAAAAACCGTGGTGCTGCGTTGGTGGGGGAAGATAATTTGGTTTCATCAACTGGATTGATAATTTAAATCGGCCAACGTAAAGAGTTTATAGAGCTGAGGTTTTTTGAGCGTTAGCCCTTCATCAGGGGGAATGAAGAAGGGGTAACGCTCGAAAAGTCATTTTTAGAAATTCTTTATGGTGGCCAATTTACATTATCTACTCAGTTGATTGAACCCAATTATCTTGGTGAAGTAAGAGGTACATGTATTCCTGAAGGTTAAAACAACCTTTATGGGATGCTTATATTTACATATACAGAAGATAATGTTTAAGTAGCCTATTTAAACGATTTGATAACGTCCCGTTTCCAAAATACATGCGATATAAGTTTCGTTTCGAAGGAACTATGAGAAGTAAACGGTATTGATGATAAAATGACTCCGCCAACTAAACCACTCCAAAACTATCCGAATTTGATTCATTCAGCCTTCAGACACTGAAAATTCAGGATTTGGCTAGTAGCTTACCTTCTTAGCTAATATACTCTTGTGTGAAAATGAGTGAACACCGTTGAATTTCTCTTTAAAGAGCTGTAACCCAAAACGAGTTTGGTGACCCTGTTTGGGGCCACGTTAAGTTATCGTAAAATTTAGGAAGCTCTTAATCTCTTTATTTTAACCACTTGTCAGTGTGGGTAACACCCCCTTGAATTTTGTCGGCTTGTTTCTAACAACGCTTCCGCTTTTAGAAATTTTCTGAATCTAAATTTCAGTATGGTCTTTGCAACAGTTATTTTACAAAATCTAACTCTATCTTTTGCCGCAGTCAGCAAGAAAATTCATCTGTGACTGTAATGTGGTCGTCATTTCATGCTGCCAAGAGGAAACCGGAGTCATCAACAGATGGTCTTCATTATGGACAGCCAATAACAACACTGGTACATAATGTTATTTGTTATGTGTCAGTTAGAACTTGCGCTACGATTGGTCAATTTAGCGGGCCGTATTTCACTTAACGCCCCGCTAAATTCAAAAGTCTCTTTGAATTGAAATCTCCCCCTCAATTGGAACGCAGATATAATGAAAATCTTACTTCCCTTGTTGTATCAAGTACTTAACTACAGAATTTTTTTCATTCGTTCTTGTCACCTGCGCATTGACTGTCGATTGGATTCTCATGAATTTATGATTTCTTGTTTTTCAGGAGCTGAATCTGATTTTGAATTATTATTGCAATCAATATCTTCAAGTTCCTGATGCTACTTGTTGCTTACCAGCGCCAAGACTGACTCATTTGCAACGAAACACGTTTGCTGTTTTTATCACATGGTAAGAATAGAATTTCTCATAAACGATCAGTAAGCTTTTTGCGCTAGCGTGAAAGTCAAAGGCATCTTTTCAAGTCAACTTGAAAAGGCATCTGGAGGTTTTTTGAAGCAGTAACCAGTGCTTCATTGCTCTGTAAAATTTTGCGAAATTGGCCGGCTGAATTCACATGAATGATCGTAGACAAAACCTTTTAGCATCGTGATCATTAAGTATTTTTTTTTAATTTAAACGTTTGACAACCGCTATTCCGCTAAGGTTATATAAATACATTTACAACTTTGAGTCTGGGAAATTAGAGTTATGTGGTTTTGGAAAAATGAAAAAAATCTTGAATTTTGTTAACTAAACTGTGCAGGGGGGCTGTACCTTTGAGTAGAATTATTGAAGAAGATATTGAAAAATAAAGATAACGTCTAGACCTTTTAGTGGCCTACCTTATCCCTTTACACCCTAACATCAGTATGCATATTCTCCATACTGTTCTCTATACATTTCCTAAGGTGTTGACAAGGAGAATTTGTTCAACAATCAAGAATATCTTACGTTGGTGATCATTTCCTTTATTCTCATGACCCTAATGTTTGATTCAGAGCTGATATTGTAAAGAGAAATTAAATGCTAGTCACTTTTAGGAGTTGAAGGGTTAACGAAACGAATTATCTGAGGCTCAGTGGCAGAGCATCGGGGCGCCGAATCCGAATGTCTTAGTTTCGATTCCTTTGGGGAATTTCGGTGTTTTTTTTTTCCTCCCTCGCTACCATGTTTCTTACTCGTGCATCGGGATGCTTATATTTACAGCATTGTACTGTTTCTGATCATGTTCGTTTGTCAGCATCTGTGGCCTGCGGAACCGAAAGGATCTGGTGGTAAGAGTTACATCAAGTACTTGCATAATCACATCTCTGAAAAAAATTTAGGCCCGTGCGGGCCTGAATATTTTTCAGGCCTTAGTTTCTCTACTACTTAAGTAGTATTCATAATTTCGAGGATCGCTTCCATGGCGTGTTAGCTCAGTTTGTTGGGCGCTGCACCGGTATCGCAGAAGTCATGGGTACAAATCCCGTACGGGCCTGAATTTTTTTGACGCCTTATTTTCACTACTACTTAAGAAGTGTTCATAACTGCGAGGATCGCTTCCATATTCGTTTCTTCAACCGCAGTTCACATATATGATTTTCATATATTTACAGTCATTTATTCACCACTTCGAGGGTTTATTTGTATTTAACGTAATGACCAACTCCTAGTTGGCTTGTTAGCTCAGTTGGTAGAGCACTGCACCGGTATTGCAAAGGTCTCGTATGGGCCAAAATTTTTTTCAGGCCTTATTTTCACCACTTCTTAAGTAGCTGCCATAACTGCGAAAATCGCTTCCATATTTGTTTTCGTTTTTGTTTCATGACACGCAATCGATCTACGCTCTGGTAGAACTCAATGATTGAATTACTTTGTAATCTATCACTCACAGGTGCTGAGCCAACCACACCTGGGGGCCGTGCAAGTTTCTCCTTACGCTGGGTCTACTCTGACAGAATGTATCCTGTTATGAAGAGTTTATTCAAAATGGGCCTCATAATGTTTTACTTCTACCTCTGTGACAGGTTAGTGTCATGGGGCGCTTTCATTCAGGATAAGGTCTGGCCAAACTGTAAGAACAGGCTTTTGCCGGTATAAGTGGTTTCGGGAATGCCTTCGTGGCAAAAGAAGTTTAGTATCCGGAAGTCACAATCACAGGTTTTTTTTTCTTATAAAAAAAATCGTTTTTTTTTAATTACACCCATCTTTTCTAAGGAAAAAACACCCTCTCAAAAGCGACATGCATGACGGCACTCACGTGCAGTGTCAGTCAAAACTCAACTACGTTCGGGCCAAGTCTCCCACGATGGAAAAAAAAAAAGTCAACTTGTTGTCAATATGAGTGTGTGCCATCTCTCTGAGTTCCGTCGGGCTCATGATGATTTTTCTTCCTTGGCCGTAGTGACTGCTCCCTTTTTCGGTCTCACGACAGTCTGTTGAAAAGGGCTTAATCGTTTTTGATGTAATGGCCAGACCGGACCAACGCACAGGGTCTTAAAAAGTAACAGAGGAGAATGTGCTACTTTTGTCATCACATCTGCAAAAAAGGTTAGACGGTCTAGACTTCTCGGATATGAACGATAAAGCATAGGCCCTGTCTCGTCCATCTTCTCTTTACTGGTTGGCAGGAGACGTTAAAGAACCCACGCACTTCTTGGAACGCAGCTTACGGTGTTGTGGTCTGGCCTTGATTCCAAAATTAGGGGCATCTGCAAAAGTTTTCTTGCAAAAAATTTTTAACTGCTCAATGCAGTCTGGCCAAAGTCCCCCGCAAAGTCTTGTAAATCGTAATGAGCTTATTAATATGGCGCCATAGACTGAAATCCGTCGTTATATTTATTATTACTAATTACTTGTCTCATCCAGTGCTCAGTTCAATTTTTTAATGCAGATAAAATTCCATGCTGTTCGTTTGAAAATTGCCTTTTCTTTCTGTTGAATCTACAGGACAAACTTTTTTTTCAAGGAACAAAAGCAGTACAGTCATCTGGTGTTTATCTTGGTGCTGTTTGTTTTCTTGGCCTTGGGAGCCTGGACTTGGTCACCAGCTCAACAGGTTTGTTTTGTGATTAAAATGTAACTTCTTCTTTCAATTCCATACATTACCCAGCGAGTAGACATAGAGAACAGAGATACAGATCAGTTGGAAGATGTTGACTCGATGTTAGACCGAATTATCAATGACCAATTGACAAGAAAATGGATACCAGCGTCAAGGGAGAATTATGAATTTAATCTTGGAAGTTTAAGAGTCAACGGGGAATGTTTACAAAATTTTCAGGCTATATTTGATCATAAGTGCTAAGTAATTTGCTTTGCCAAATTTGTTTTTTCAGACCGTGTTTTTAAACAGAGATCAGACGAATGAGTGGAGAGGCTGGATGCAATTAGTTATACTTTTGTATCATTACATTGGGGCAAGCAAGGTAATGATAGTGATCGGTTCTGATTCAGTCGATGGATTCACACACTATTTTTTCTGAAATGAACGAAGGACACTCTCCACAATAGGGTGCGAAATGACGTGCCTGTGGCTAGTTTACCACGAGTCTCTCGTGCATTTATGCATGTCGTCCGTTTTACATTAAAGTGCGCGGTGATATGCGCCTATCGCCACGCGTCTCTTGCGCACACATGCTTGTCTCCTGCTCTACTACGAGGTGCGCGTACACATGCATGTGTATCTCGCACTCCACCACAATGGATAAGGTGTGAGGTGACGTTCTTTTCGCCACGTGTCTCTCGTGTTAGCATGTGTTTCTATTGCGACTGCATGTGTGTCTCACGCTCTTCTATAAGGTGCAAAGTGACGTACCTCTCTTCATGTCTGTCTCTCCTGGCGTATGCATTCTAGTTCCACTTAACTAGTGATTGAACTGACTTCCCTGTTAAACCCTCTTGGAAAGGGTCGAGGTTGTAGATGCGGAATGCGGGATGCGGATAAACAGGTTAATCCTCGCTTCACGTTTTAAAAGGCGTCATATCATAAAAATAGGAGTTGTCTTCTGCCACGCGCAAAAAATCACGCTTAACGCGAGCGAAACCATAAAATATCAATTTGGTAAGCTAGGAAAACAACAAAATGACAAGAGTGAACCCAACACAAACAAATATGGGTGTGGATGGAGAAGATTGACACTGATTGCAAACAAACACTCGAAAAATCCAAGCTGAGTTCATTGTGAAGTCAGTGTCAGTATTGTAGCGAACTAGCATACAAGTTCTACTCCTCTCTAATTTTCCTTCATTCTTACTACAGGTGCTTCCAATTTACGTGTTTATAAGACTCCTCGTAGCTTCATATCTTTTCCTCTCTGGGTATGGGCATTTCTCGTACTTTTGGAATAAGGGAGATTTTGGCCTCTACAGGTTTTGTCAGGTAATAACTTAAGTTACGTTGTAACAAAGAAGAAATACTGAATCCCCCGTGAAAAGTTGAACGCCAGTTATCGATTTCGCTCCCGGGTGCTTTACCAACTGAGCTACAGGCAACACGTGTGGGGTCATTTAACCCTTTCACATCTAGTAGTAACCAAGACGTACTGTCTATTTAGAAAATTAATACAATATCAAGCAATCAACTTATGGTAACATTGAAAAATGTCTTCCCTCTTTTTGTCTTTTAAAAATATATAAATCTAGTCGTGCAATGGCACTAGGTGAATTCCACAGTTTTTCGAAATAGATGGTATTTCCTGAATTTAATTCATTTTTCCGTCAAGTTCACCAGCTAGCCTAGAATCGGTGAAATCGACCCAGGTTTCTTACCTCACGTCCAAACATATCTCGATCGCTCGCTGGTAAGTGCTTCAGAAATTTGCAATACGCACTGTAATGGCTTGTTTGATCTCGTTTCAGGTTATTACTCGCATGAATATTCTCGTGGCTGTTCTCTGTTTGATCATGGGTCGCCCCTATCAGTTCTACTACTTTGTTCCCTTAGTAACCTTCTGGTTTGTAGTGGTTTATGCTGTGATGGCATTGTGGCCCAGAGTCACTGCTGCTCGTGTTAAAGGTGAGTATGATTTTTCTGATCAGGTTCTCCCTGTAATAATTCTCCTTTCCTCTTTAAATTGGCATCAACGCTTTCACTGCCCTGCAGAGCAGGTATTTTCTTGGTGAAAATTTAGCTACCATCTTTGATTCCAACAGCAGCGGAAGGCTGGAGAAAGAAAGAAATTTCTACCAAGGGGATGAGTGACGGTTAGGGTTAGGGGAGGCAAACATGGCTGGTTAAATAAACGATTGCGAGCTTGTAACGTTAACTCACCCTAAAAAGACACTTGCATTGCAGGCTACTCTTTCTCTGCCGCATCTCAACCTTAATTCTCCTGCAGTTCCGTGTTTGCCGCACAATTCGTAGAAAGATATTTCTGAGAATAAAGGGTTTTATCATGCTATGTCCCTTAATTAATGTTTTCATCGTGTCACTGGTCTGCTCCAAAATCTGCTCTCATAACTCAAGGAGTCACTAGCATCTAACATCTCCTTACATTATCAAACATGGTTATAAGAATATAGGAAATGATCATCGACCAAAGAAGCTCTTGATTGTCAAACAAATTCTCCTTGTCAGTGCCATTGAAAATATGTGGAGAATAGAATAAAGAAGATAAATGTTGATCTCTGGTTGTAAAGGGTTAATCAATTAGTCAGTAAAAGTTTGCCATCAAGATGGAGTTTCGTGTTTCAGATCAGTTAATTCTCTTGGTAATTTCTTGATTTTGAGATATTTTCTAGTTCTGACGGTTACGTTTATATTAAACGCCGGTAATTTTCTTGGTAGATAACCAGAAGCATTATGTTGTTGTATTGGTGAAGTTCCTGTTCCTGTTTGGCGTTATTTCCACGATCTGGAGCTCACCAGTAAGTTAACTGAATGTGGTACATCTACACAGACTTCTTCCTTATCATTTTAGCACGCTTAAAGGCCATGAGAGTATAAGAACTGAGGAAGCTTTGATGAATGCAGCTTGTATACATTTGTTCTCTTGTTCTCATCGATTCTAACTAGAAGGAGCTTTTCTTCGGGGGAAGGAGCGCGGGCTCATTTTTGAGACGCACGAGGCAATCGGAAGTAGAGTGAAACTAATAGTGGCACGCTTTGTTGTCAGAGTATCGACCCTACGGTTGTCGTTAAATCATTTCAACGCGTGTTTAACATCATAATATTCTCTTCAGGGCAGTCCTAGAAGCCACTTACTGTGAGATCGCCCTCTGTATAAATATTAATTTTGTTAATGTCATTATTATTACTAATATTATTATTATTACTAATATTATTATTGTTAGTTATTATTATTATCATGCATGTGAATGACCTCTCTTTGTACCTCCCAGACGTTATGCCAATGGATATTTTCCCAGTGGGCCATTAAAGAATTGTTCATTGATGAGAATGATAGTGTTCGCGAGTGGTGGTTTCGGTCATGGCTGGATAGATATGTAAGTAACAAACTCTCTGTCGGTCATGGCTCGAAGGATAGGTGATTAAAGAATTATTCATTGATTAGAATGATAGTGTTCGCGAGTGGTGGTTTTGGTCATGGCTGGATAGATATGTGAGTAACAAACTCTCTGTCGGATTCTATGTAGTTTACGAGAATTCCTCGAAGGATGAACGGAAGCTTCTTCGGGGTGATTCTCTCTTTCTGAACCGGTCGTAGCAGGAATAGAAGTCTTGTCGATTACTAACGGAGACTTACCGAAATCTCGTCACGTCAAATGAATTTACTCGTCGTTTATTTTTTCCTCCGAGTAGACTATGAGCACGGATGGGCAGATCTCAGTTCGACATGAAAAATTAGCGGAAGCTTCTCCCGCGAGTTTTCGAGACTGTCTACTGATTCATATTGTTTCTCTGACTTCGGGGATATAATGAGCGCGGGCAAATACAGTTTTAGCAAGAGGAAGTCGGAGCTTTCACGTTAGATCTTCGATGGCCCATAAAACGAATTAAAACGTGGCTTTACGTGTGGTAAGAGGCTTTGATAAATAAGCTTGCAGTCAAAAGAATTCAATATCCGAGAAAATTATGTTAATAATAAGAATAGGTTGACTGGAGTTGTGAAAGTACACGGGTTTAGGTGAGGGTGATAGTACTAGATTTAATCCTTTCCACCCTTTTCTTTCAGGGTACACTTTTTGGAATGGCTGTAGCATTTCTTTACTGCTCTGGAAAATATCTTAAAATGTTCGACGATAACAACAAGAGAACTCTCTTCTCCAGACCTGTAGGCTTTGTGTGTCTAGTATTTGCTGTTGTGGCGATAATGGTAAGAATAAGATGTAACCGTTTGGTGTTTCCAGTGGCAGCAACTAACCGAAAGCATCCGCTGAAAGGGCAGAAAAGGCCGCACAAATTCTGAAAATAGATTGTGTGCAACTCGGCGGCCTAAAATGTGCCATTCGCCCAAAGCGAGAGAAAAAATCGAAACTGATGCGAAGCTCAAGGTTAAGTATGATCAACCAAAAAGGCGGAAAAAAGCGCAAAGCGCGGGAACAATCGCAGTCGCTTCCCAGCGCGGGAAAAGTGTAATCCGTCCCGAACGCGGGAAGAATTGCAACACCGGCCAAGCGCGGGAAACGGTAACTTCTACTCAGAGCCGAGAGATTCTATCTAAATGCTACTCCATCATGTAGGGGATTGAATGAAGGCCGGTTACCTCCGCCTGTAAAACCTCATATCGCGGTCTGTTTAGCTTGCGAGTAAGCTCTTGTGTTTTATTTCGCATTACGGTCCCTTTTCCGATCTTAGCCGCCTTTTATATCATCGGTAGCCGCTTATAGAAAACATGATTATAACCCCTGCCCAAGCGCACTTACTTGCGAGGGATCTTTGGCCATCCAGAAAAGGAGCACGTCTCTTGAGACACTTCACCTTTAGGGGCCAGACACTCATAGACTCCTGTAGGAAACGGGAATACCGTCGCTCCGGCTTGGCGAAGGGTTACGAACAATAGGTTATTCCTATCTATGAAATGCTCGTTTGCACAGCGAGGTTTTTTTTTTCTCAAATCCCCTAAGTAACTTGTGATGCGTGAAACTTTTTAAGATTTGAACATGAAGTAACTAACCAACTTTTTTGGTTGCAGATTTATACTACTCAGGCATTAACGTGCCCTTCTAAAGTTTCTTGCAATCAGACTCATTCGACAATGTCATTTATACCTGTGAGTACAAGTAATTGTTTCCTTTTAATTCTTCTTAATTTTCCATCCGTTTGATCCCAGCCGTGCCTCAACCGGCGCAGCAAGCGTTTCTATACAAGAAAAATGAAACGAGTAGTATTGTCTTAAAGGAAAAACCAAACGCACATCGGCCAATCATAATAAAGAGAAAAATCACTACCAAGTAAGCCAATTAGAATTTAATGTTAAAACAAGCAATCTGCCGAAAGCGCGGGAAAATGCGAATGGCCAAGTCGCGCTTGGTTTTAGTTTTCTAGACCAATCACAGGGCGTAGTTTAGGAATGCCAATGCAGTCGCAGATTATTCTCGATTGATTTTAGGGAGACGATCACTGCATATTCAACCCTTCTCCTCCCTCCCCTTGTACAATTATTTTTGTCCCCGCCTCATCTATGAATCCCTTGCTTCATCAGCCTCCTGCACCCTTGAAGTTTTTCTGAATACTATCTACTACTTTTTTCCTTAGCCCTATCACCTTCTTACACACAGCTTCTAACTTTTAATATGCAAGGGAGAATCTGTAGCGGTGGATTGTTCATTACTTCATCTCACATAAGTGCCTCTCACGAACCAAGTTCGAGGTTCCTACTGTAAGTTACCATATGGCCCGTCCGGCTCCGCTCGCCCAATCCCATAGAAAACCATAGTGAAAGCTGGCACTTGAAGGGCCAAACGGTTTACGTGATCCGGTTCGGAGGGAGCCGTCCGGCCTTAGTGTACTTGTTCACCTTTGTTGCGGAAAAAAAAAAGAACGAAAGAAAGAAAGGAAAAGTTTTTGTTGGAGAATATTTTTACGTGGTTTTCCCCCGCGCGCCAGTCTATTGCGTCCTATTTAAGTTAAAACAAACTTTTTAAATTTTTCAAAACTTAGTCAGTGGTTATTTGATAAAATGCTTATTGACTGGGTTAATTCTGGCCGGAAGGGAAAACATTTGTCTCTCGTTCATAACGTACGAACCTCGCTGTGCTCGGTCTGTACATCATGACCTCGAGCCATACACTTTACGGTCCGGCCCTCTCCTTCAATAAGTACGTATTATGGACCGAGGTTCCGTAACTTACAATAAGGACCCAGAAAACGAGGTATGTTAAGTATTTATAAGGGACTCACTGTTAGTAATATTTTGATGTAATAATATTCTCTTCCATTCTTTCCCTTGGTTTTTTTCTTGTAGATTATAGCCTTCGTGTTCCTTAGGAATGTTCCCGGTCCGTTCCGGTCAAAATTCAGTAAATTTTTCTCCTGGGTTGGAAATATTTCTCTCGAGGTTAGTGCCTGTAGTTCGCACACGTTTTTTTTTGTTAAATTGCGATAGTAGAATTCATATTTGGTCCTAGTGAATTTCTTAATTTTTTTTTATTTTTATGATCCATCCCTAGGCAGTTTTAACTCTGTTGAAAAATAAAAAATTGATAGTTAACCCTTTACCCGCCAGAAGTGATTAACATGAAACTTCTCACAAGTAAAACAGTCCTTGTGGGGACTCAGAATTTTTTTCCTTTGTCCCACGCTCGTGACGAGGCGAAAAACTTCTTTCTTTGTTTCTTTACTGAGCTAAAAAATTACTATCTCTCTTATTCTATTTGCGAACATGACGCTATCGACATTGCTGGTCCTAGCAGTATGCAGGACGCGTGTCATATGAACTTCGTAATAGACCTCGCTCACCGTGGAATCTCTGTGGCTCAGTAGTAGAGCATCGGATTGTGGAATCCGAAGGTCTTAGGTTCGTTTCCTCATGGGCAATCAGAATTTTTTCTTTATCTCACGCTTGTAACAAGACGAATAACATCTTTCTTTTGGTAATGAGAATGTTCAAATTTGTCAGGTACAAGTTGCTATCTTGATCGAGCACCAAGTTCTTATAACTAATTTACAAGGAAATGTTAAGCAGCAAGGGAGAATTAACAATTAGATCTTGGCAGTTAAAGGGTTAATGCGAACGTTTTCGCTTTGAAATACAGATTGCTGAAAGCAGACGGCTAGAACTTACGTTGAAACATTTTGCTGTTCTCTGTTCGCCGAAAACTCTCTGTGTTGCATCTGGGCAGGGAACCAAACTCCTTTAAAAAATAAGTGTGCGATAGGTTTGCAAGGGGTTTGGTACTGATAAAGAATGGCTCTCATTATTAGTGCCAGTCCCCAGTTCGTATGGTATTGCCAGAGAGATTATGATCAACCTAGCTTACAATGGACTTTCTGTTGATGTTTCAGTTGTTTATAGCACAGTACCACATTTGGCTGGCGCATGACACAAAAGGAGTATTAGTGCTTATTCCGGATCAGCCTTTACTCAATGTCATTCTCACCACCTACGTGTTCGTCTGTATAAGCCACGAAATTCATAAAGTTTCCGGTGTGTTGGCAAATGCTCTGATCACCAAAGACATCAAAACAATGTTAAGAAGAGTGCTGTTTTTCATCTTCATGTTGATTATAATCTGGTGGCATAAGACTCACCATGACCCGAAGCCAGTGTTAACGTGATACTCTGAATACTCGAGTGAAGCGAACTGGCCACGATAATTGCATCCATTGATGGGTGAAATGACGACGACGCTGTCCGACGACGCTTCCGAAGATTCTCGAACCCGAAGGCCTCCGATTGTGTTGTCGGCCAAGCCGAAGCAAATCTGACCTGGACTGGCTTTAGTTCCAGAAATCGAGGCATTCTGGTAAACACTTTGCAGAAAAATCTTGTGAAACCACAAATTCGTCTTTAAAAGTTTCCTGCATGGTCTGATTAAAGAAAAGAAAAGCCATTCAGAACAATCAAACCACGAAACGAACCTTTCCTTGTATTATTTATTTTGCGCGAAAAGTTTACAAGGTAATATTGATTCAATTTTTCAAGCCCACACTCAGTATCGTTCAAGTGTGCTACAGCATCTACATGCGCGTCAAAGTGCACGTAATGCGTGGGAATGAAACGCGCTTGCAATGCGTGTAGCTCCATGTGTGCGGTAGAAAATTGCAGGAGCAGAAATCGGGAGAAAGCCATAGAAAGGACTGCGATTATTAACAAAATTATGTAAAATAAAAACGTGTATAGTGCAAGGTCTCACTTATATTATACTTTGAATTGTAGAGTAATTCATTTGAGTTACTTAAAAATTTTAATCTTGAAGTAGAGAAGGCGGGTTTTGGTCAACCTCTTTTTCAAGGGATTTCAGGAATAGATAAGAGCCTGGGGACAAGTAAAGAAGTTATTGAAATTACGATTATATGAAACTTTTTTTTTTTAATTTCCAAATGTCGATATGTAATTCTCAATAAATCTTAGTTTGAAAAAATCAGAACTATATGTTCTACAAATTAAAATCGAGGTGAACAGGAAAAAAAAATCGAAGACAACTTGTGAAAAATCGTTGATGAGCACATTGATATTCGTTTGAGGCCTCACTGAAATAACGATACTTGTGCGGAACCTAAAAACGAGGAACATTTCAAGCGAAATTTTACTTTTTAATTCGACAGTGTAAAGAAAATTACCCACTACAATTTCCTAACTGATATTCCGGTCGAGACAGACTAGCTCTTATTGTCCTTTTTGTTTCGGGAGGTGAATTTTCCGGTTTCATAAAGCAAACTTAAAAATACTTTTTATCAGTGCACAAACTCAGGATGGGGTTTCCGATACGTGTTTTATACCCTGCTAACCAGACGCTATTCTTGGGCGACTTCCGGTTTCGTCACTTCCGCTTCTTCAACTGGCTGAAATCTACTTGGTACCGGTCTTCGATTGTCGACCTTCTTAAATCCTCCGTAATCTTTCTTTAAAGGAAAAGGCTGGTCAGGGAATGAATAAGGAACGATATTGAACGGTTTTACGCTGGATGTAGATCCTTGTGTGTTCTGGGGTTGCTTGTTGCAGGCATTCCATCCATCGTTGCGATAAGCAGTCTTAGATCTAGAGGTTGGAGGTCCACTTAATGCGGCTAAGAAAACTGCGAAACATAGTGTTATTTTACCCATAAAGTCATGCAGAAGACGTGGCTCACAAGACTCTTTAATACATTGGATCGAACTTCCAATTAAATGAAATTGAAGAGCGCATAGTTTTCAGACAGTGGCAATGCGCACAGGCGTTTATTTAATTAAAAAAATTAGTCCAAGTTCTTTTGAAGCTCTGTTGAAAAAACCTCTTTTTCCATCAGAACCTGAAAAGTTAGAGATACTTAAAAGGGGCGGAAGGTACTTGAAGGACGGAAAACCTACTCTTTTCCTTTTGTTCATCACGCACGAGACTAGAATCAATTGTCTTTGAACATTTTTTATTCGCAGTTGTAAACTATGTCTCTTTCAATTATCAATTGCAATAAATCCTCAATCCTGCCCAGCTCGCGCTGTTACTGAAGTTAGCTAGGCGAAGCGATCGTCCTGGAAGAGCACGGCAAAACAGGACTGGGAAGAGAATTATGCTAATATGGGCTTTTTCGCTTGTCGCGAGTAATATGGCACGATAATAAAACGCAAATTCTTCATGCATGAACAACTTGAAATATACAAGACGTCAGCGCATATTTCAGGCAATTTTTTTTGTCTTTTTTTTGCTTTATGTTAATTCAGAAAAAGTTCGAAATGACGCGAGCGCAACACCTGGGCCTCTAAGTATTTTTCTGTTTTGACAACTGGTAATATTAAAATAAACAAATATATCGATTAGATAATGGTAGAATAAATGAAATAATTATACACGTGAATAAATAGCAATACTTCAGCATTTTTCTTTAATTCGTCGTCTCGGATTTTTGCTGTTCCTAAGCTTTGAAAATATTAGCTATCGTCAACTAATAACTTGTTATTTGAAAATATGAAAAGTTCCATGTGAATATTTGATGTTTGCCGTTGTAAGCACATCGAGAAGGGAATTTTTTTTACCTTTTCCTTCTGATTAATCGTTCTCGTTCCGAAACTAGTCATGTTTAATTTTACTGCTTTGAAGTACTGATTTATTTTTGTGGTTTTAGGAAGTAACAGCTAAGTTTTATAACACTCCATCGATTTTTCGTGTTACCACAATTCAAAGGTGTTTTTAATTCACGCACATGTCTGAAAGAGTGTGACGGGCCAGCGACCTTTTATTTAAAAATACCTTTAATTGGGGGTTACAGTTATTTTCGATCTTTTAATTTTGATGATGTGTAATCAAGCAAATCAAAAAAAACCTTCGACGAAAATATCGCAGAACCAATTTGTATAAGTTATTTTGTTTTTTAGAGGTAAAAAGCTTTCATTGCATTTTGATGCGAGACTGACAGTAGACACAATATCGTTCTAAAAGCTTAAACTTCATTTGTGTGGCAGGGGGAGGCAGGTCGTTACGTGTTCAGCCACCAGCTGTGATATTTTGTAGTCTTCTGTGGATTGTGAGGACCAGGTAATTAAGTTAATGAGAGTGAATGTGCTATTTAGAAGCAAGACTAGAACGCAGAATTGTATCCTATTTTTGCAAGGTTTTTCTCATTATTCCTCCACCGGATAACTCATCATGAAAATTCTCGGGCACCCACCCTGCCTCCTCGTTTTACTTCATCGAACCTTCCCACGTCTTATGATAATAACTTACTACTAACGATCGTAATGGAAAGGTTCGTTTATTACCAGAGAAAAAAATCGAGAATGGAAACAAAAGTATTTTCCATTCTGCTCAGCCAACTCAGCAGACAGAAAATGCGTTCATTTTGCTCCTTTGTTCCTCCTGAATTGTTTAAGTATTTGGGAGGAGCCCTCAAGGGTCCCTAGGGAGTTTTAAATTGCATGCTTGTCAAATTCTTCTCTTATTAGAACACTCGATCGCTGAGCAGTTTGTCGCATTTTCTTTGCTTTTCCATGTAGCGTAACGCTCCAGGATGTAAGGAAAATGATAACTTTTTTATTCTTTTTCAGAAAACTTACATGATCTGTTTTGTTTTTATTTATCCAAAATTGAATTTCGCTTCGCTGAAACCACAAGATCCATTTATCCCGATAAAAATGCGTTCTGCTGTTGATTGCATATTTTTGTGCGAATGATTGACAGGTAATTTAGGCAACGAATGGTGCCCACGCTAGCTCGGTTTACTGCCAAACCCTCGATGGACTGTTTTGAATGCCAGCTCAGTTTTTGATCGAGCGTTCCATCGATAAAGGACTTCTGTAGCTGAAACTAGTTACTCTTCTACGCGGCTACTTCAACCGGTAAGCATTAGAGTTCGGAGCAAACGTGTTCGAGATTGATATGTCACTTAAAAAAGTGTTCGCAACCGAATAGAAGCGCGCGTAGTTGGTAGTAATATTGAAATCTGCTATTGTTGTAATAGTTGTTTACCAGCAGGGAGATTTGGGGGTTATTCGGTCTTTTTGAGTGAGAAACTACCTGCCAGACGGCTAAATTTCGGTTAAAGTTTAGCTTTGTTCTATTGTTGAAGATTTTGTGATTTCGTTTTTCGATTAAATGTCATCATTTTGGGAACAAGTCGGATTTCTCGATGAACAATAGGTCGCATTTAGGCCGCAAGTCGCTCTGCGTTCAATTCGAATGGCCCCTCGTGTTAAAAGCATTTATCTTTGCGGACTATCATTGAATCAAAAGTTTTCTTTGCTCGTTAGATGCTGTTGTATTTATTTAATGTCCCTTAGAAACCTGAAACTCTGGAAATCTTCCATGATTTCTGTTTCTTGAAAAATTAAATCTTAAGCTGGTTTGCCTTCGCTGCGCTCTACTTAAAATTCCTCACCGAAGAATTTGCTAAGATATTAATGGACCTAGTATGGGGCGATGACACCGTACTTTATGCTTGACTCGAATGAATTAAAAGTCCATTGTGATTTTCATTTGGTTGAAAACGTGTATAGCTTTATATTCGTGCCGATCTGGACCAGTTGCCTTGTTTGACAGCAACCTTGCTGGGTTAGGCGGTCACTAAAGCCGCTTTTCTGCTCTATAATTTACTGCTGCAATCTCTTAAACGTTAGGAATATATCTTATTTCACGATTGTGTGGATTTTTATTTGAACTTTACATTTTGGGAGAGTTTGCACCTCTGAAAACTAACGGTTGAGGTTTATGTCAAAGCGAAGTAGACAGTCAGTAGCACGGCTTATACTTAGCGAGGCGCTTAGAATTCGTAGTTGCGAGCTTTATTCGGCGGCGGTCAGGAAATGTGGTTTTCCTTTCCCCTGCAATTTCCGAAGTTTCCTTATTGGAATTGAGTTAAACAAGGCTGCCTCTGTATCAATGTTTCTGTAAGCCAACGATTTTCTAGCCTTCCTCGATATGATGTTCGCTCGTTCTTCAGCAGATATTTTAGTTGAGCGATTACGTTCATCCTGTACGCTTACAAAATAGCTTTTACAACACATTTTCATCAGTTTTGTCTTTTACAGGTGTACGAATTCCACCTCAGTCGATGCCCTAACCAGCGAAAGATTGGTAAGAGTGCAAATGAAAAGTTTTAAACAAGACTGTATATAAACAATATATTATTTGGCGGTAAAAAAAAAAGCTGCAATGCGTGTTGAGTTACATAGATCCAACTGAAGAACGGTTTTCACACCATATTATTTTCGGTTCGTAATTGTATTTTCTTCTTCTTAATTCAGAGATTTCCGCTTGCTTAAGATTGAGCGGCATATTTCCACACAGAGAACCAGAAAAATTTGTCACGCTTTTTTGAGCGAGGGAATGAATTTCTTTATATCCGTAAGCTTCTAGTTGTTTACTTAGCTAACAATAGTGTCTTTGATTCTGTATGGGCTCTTCTTTCCGTCGGAAGTCACGTTCTGTGTGCAAGAAACGTAAAAACCATGTAATATTGCTCTTATTAAAAATAGAAAAACTGAAGTAAAGATCTGTTCCGTCTGGCTTTTGTAAATATTGTGTTTCTTTTCCTCTGCAGCTACTAAGAAATTGTAACATTACGAAGTTTGTTTGATACAGCGTAGCTGGGCTCAAAGCGGTGAAGAGGTAAGCATTTTGTACTCGTTTATTGAGCGTTTACCGTGATAATGAACGTACTATATAATAAACGTGGGTGGTTATGCTGTGAAACAGGATTTTCTTTGAAAGAGTCGCATACGAAACTATTTAGCCGGTTTTCACAAGGCCCGTTGTACTAAATCTCTTTTATAGCTATTATTTGTGCTAAATGGGTACTTGTAGGTGTACAAAAACCGTTTTGAGACTAAGACAAGTTTGTGTTTGATTTGAAATTCAATCAGATGATATTAGCAATGAGTTAAAATTCCTTTAGCATTACAAGTGATTTTTCTGGGATTCAATATGCAAATAAACACTTGAAACGTTTAGGAGACATCAAATATAGTTTCAGACGCAACACTCCTCTTTGTCATATATTGTGCTTAACAGACTTTGGCCCAAGGTCACTTATGATAACATATCAACAGAAACTTGTATCAAACAATTTTTCACTTTCTTCTTTTCAATTAGAAAATTTGATACAGTGTTTACTTTACAATGTAACATTTTGCACAACATATATGTATTATACCTTTTGTTGGATGCAACATCAATCTAAGGAGTTTTTTTTTTTTTCATATCCAATCAGTCTAGAAAATTCGAATGCATTGTTTCCTCTAATTGAACCTTGGTTACCAAAGAAATATCAAATCCTCTTAAGAAACACACAGAATATCAAAGGAAATTCCTGTTAACCATTGTCTTTTTTTTTTTGCTTATTATAATACTGTAAGATGTGGAGTTGTGTTTCGTAATATTTTGTTTTGTGCTGAGGAAGTTGCTCCAAACATTTTAAGTTCTGGCATGGATGATTTTGTATGAAAATAATTTGATAGAATCCTCAAAGTAGCTTGAAACATTTCGCGTTCCCTTAGAGTTGCAGGTAAAACCAGGTTGTTTCTTAGCTCTTCAGTGGCGCATACAGTTAATATCTAGGGATTTTGTATAAGGCACTGCTTAAAACAGTTAAGGAAGTGTTCGTTTTCTATTGAAGGGCTAACACTCGAAATTTCATCTCTAGAAAAACTCTTTGCAATGGCTTGTTTATATTATTAACTCAGTTGATTCAAACCAAATTCTATAACTTGAAGCTTGCTTTACATGGAACAAAGTTCGTCTAGAATGATATTGTTATTACTGGTTTGTTTCATATTTAAGTGAAGGTTAAGTCTTTGCGTAAAATAAGTATTTAAGAGTAGTTTTCATGCATATGCTCTTTAGTAAGTATCACCCATTAGATGGTTAATTGTTCTACAATGTTCTTGTAGATTAGTTTTTACAGTGCTTCAGTTTCCTTATTTCACTTAAGAGGGCATTGTTGCAAGGGATTAGTTACCTTTATTCAGGAAAGAAAATTGAGTTTTCTCGTCATGTATCAAGACTGTGAAGTTCTTTGTATGATGAAACTTGAAGCTCTGTAGTGATCTATTGGTGTCAAGATTTGTTTAGTTGTCAGTCTTGTGTTTTAGTGAAGGTAACACAATATTGTCAAATGAATAGAGGATAATTTCTGAGAAACCACAATGTTGCATCAGAGGGAGCTATTAACAGATAAATTGCTTTCATCAACTAGGTACTTTAATAATGAAAATTGACTACTTTGTAAATAGTTTCTAAAGCAGACGTCTTGAGAGTTAGCCCTTTGTTAGAGTAAATGATAAAGGGCTAATGCTCAAATTCGTGAACTTGGCATCAACTGTGGTTTAAGTTTCTGTTTCTTGTTCTAATTTTTTGTTGTTGTTCTTTCTGGTTCAGGTTTACTTCCCTTCACTAAAACTAACCTGTGGCTCTGATTTTGAGAAAGAGCTGCTCAGGGAATTGCCTCTGTCATATTCTAATTTGTTATTTGGGTTGTTTATTCTCTTAGACATGCCATGCCCTTCTCTATTTTAGGCAAGATGGGTGAAATGAATTTTCAGAGCAGTAGAGCAATCTATTGTTGGATTTTCAAGAATTCCAACTGACTTTAGGTGGTTTTGCAGGCCATAAATTTAATGAATTACTGGTATTAACCATGTGCATTAACCTTCTTGATATAGTTTTCACCATGGAGACGAGTAGAATTGGATTACCCCACGGTGAAATGAGCAAAGATGAGCAGACTGCAATGTGGCATCACCAGTATCATGATTCTGGTATTATGTCAGGCGCTACAACTACAGCACATTCAATCAAGGGTGATGATGATGATGACTACATGAAAACACACATGGCATTTGAGTGGGAGCAGCCCGGATTTTCCGAGCAGGAGATGCACGCTATGAATCAGCAATTTGTCTCAACTAGGAGGTGAGTGGAATCATCAGGAGAGGGGTAATGTTTGGGTTTTACAATAAAAGCTAGTAAGCAGTGGCCTACAGCTGCCAATCAGATCTCTCAGCATGGTCTTTTTATCCTGTGCTAATACATGTATGGCAAAATCATAGGGCAAAGCTCAAAGAGGGCTTATGAAAAAAGTCATTAACTAAGTACAAACTGAATGTGAATTAATTATTGTGATATTTTGGCACATGAATAGACAACATGTAAATTGAAATATCTAAACTAGTATCACTGTATCGTTATGTTGTATTGATCAATTGAGCATGATCTTGAATAGCTTTCTGATTTCATTTCATGTGTAATGCATTAGTAGTCTAATTTGTGTTTACCATTACACAGTCAACGCATCCGTCAAGCCATGTTTCCTGAGACCCTGGAAGAAGGTGCTCATATCCCTTCCACACAGTTTGATTCAGCAGCTAACACAGCTGTCCAGCGCTTGGCTGAACCATCGCTTATGCTAAAGCAAGCTGTTGTCAATCTAATCAACTACCAGGTAAAACAGTGCACTTTCAATACAGTGGCAAATTTGTTGTGGGAAGGGTGTCAGATCATACTTCTATGGTTTGGTATTTTGTTCCAAGGCTTGTTACTGATGATTTTTTATTTCCACCTTGTAGGACGATGCTGATCTGGCCACACGTGCCATCCCTGAGTTGAACAAGCTGTTGAATGACGAAGATCAGGTGTGTATTTACAAAGAAAATGAGAAACATGCCAAACCTTGGTTCTAAAAAGAATCACTAAGTTCTGGAAGGAGTTTGTCAAAGATCAAAAGCATATAAAATACTTTGTCTGTAACATACAGTACAGATTTGCAACCTAAGCCTGTAAGAAGTACTTTTTCATTTATCCACAATTATCAACAATCTTTAAGGTGGTAATCCGACAAGCATCAATGATGGTGCATCAACTTTCCAAGAAGGATGCAAGTCGCCATGCCATTATGAACTCACCACAAATGGTGGCATCTCTTGTGAAAGCTCTAAACAGCTCTAATGACCCAGAAACCATCCGATGTGCTGCAGGAACTTTGCACAATTTGTCTCATCACAGGTGAGTAATATACAAAATAAAAGTTAGATATGAATGCTATATTTGCCTATTTTACCATCCATCTTCAAGATGTCTTTATCTGTAGTGATTATTATTTTAATAATTTTTTTATGTTGCTACAGACAAGGCTTGCTCTCCATCTTTAAATCTGGTGGCATCCCAGCTCTAGTCAGGTTGCTTGGGTCCCCTGTGGAAGCAGTAGTTTTCTATGCCATCACTACCCTGCACAATCTTCTGCTCCACCAAGAAGGTGCCAAGATGGCTGTTAGACTGGCAGGAGGTCTGCAGAAGATGGTGGCCCTCCTAGGGCGTTCCAATGTCAAGTTCCTGGCGATTGTTACAGGTATAAATTTGAATTTTCAGACTAGGAAATTATTGACAATTTGAGGGGAAACAACCAAGTATTGTTTGGTAAGAGAGAAAACACCAAAATCAATCAAAATTAGTAATAGCAATGCTTCTTCAAAATTATTTTGACAAAATTTTGTATGTTCGGAAAATGACACAGCATTCTTGGAAAAAAGAACTCCAGGTGCTTCCAGTAGAAGTCAAACCTATGACCTTGAGATTAGTAATTCAGAAGCTCTTCTTCTAAGCAACAGGAGACTTGGGGTGAGCTAGGCTGTTTAGCAACATCCAGGGTGCCAGGATAGGAATGTCAACATGTGATGCTTCTGTGCGATGATGATGTGAATGAAGATGGTGAATTAAAATCACCATTTTTAAGCCTGGTGATTTAAGTAAAAGAAGATGTTATTTATGACAGTCATATTTGGAGAAAAAGAATGTAGTGTTGCCAATAGAAACTAAATCTTCAACCTTCCAATAAGTTAGAAAATTCTTATTTGAAAGGTGGATTTTTAAGGAATCTCTTAATTATCTTCTACATTTTAAATGGTAGTCCACAACTTCTTATGCTGAGTTTTTGAATTGTTTAGCAAAGGTGTGGAGAGTAAGCATTTCTGGCTTTTTTGTGTCTCTTACCAAAATATTGCACCATGTTCATTGTTGTCGCAGATTGCCTTCATGTGCTGGCTTATGGTAACAAAGAGAGCAAGTTGATCATCCTAGCATCAGGAGGCCCTGCTGAGCTGGTGCGCATCATGAGAAGTTATACATATGAGAAGCTTCTCTTTACCACAAGCCGTGTGCTGAAGGTTCTCTCTGTGGACACTGACAACAAGCAAGCGATTGTGGAGGTGAGTGTTAATACTGCTTGTCAATGCTGTTAATCTTTTCACTCCTTGGAGTAAATGATCAAACTGAAAAATGAAGTGACTAAGGGAAAGCACCAAAGGGGAATCTTTTTTTCATTATTTTACTCAAAACTCAGAGCTCAAATTCCACAAAAATATGTGAAAGATCATACCAGAGAATTGATGTTTGTGGAGGGTTGAAAGAGTTTAGTCACAGGTTTCTTTAAGAGCTGGTTACTGGAAGTCCAGCACTACTCATAACTGGGGTTCATATGGGTCCTGGAATTTTATTTTTAGATTTTTGAGGACTAGAAAACACCAGTAAAAGACTGCAGGTCCTAGAAAGTCTTGGAAATCTGTTTAACTAAAGTATTAAAGTTTTCAGAATTTATCTTGTAAGAATTGTATGTTGACTGCAACAAGAATTGATTTAGAAATCTTAAGAATGACAGTGTTCAAGGTGAAATTTGGAGCCCTGGAAAAAATCAATCTGGGTCCTGAAAAAGTCATTGAAATTTGTTTCTGAAAAAGGGTATAGCTGTTTAGCTTGTACCCAGACTCTTATGGTTGAATTTCACCCCACTGCCCCTTTCCTGGCAGAGTAGCATGGTACACCGTCAGAAACTGCTTTTGGAAAAAGTTATGGAAACTGCTGGCATAGTTGTGGTGTTGAGAGTCTTTTTTTTGGGGAAATGAGAGCTACATCAATTTGAGCTAGATTACAAAATATCATTTCAACAAAACCACCAAAGAATCAAAAATTAAATCAAAGAGTAAAATTGGTAGCAAAGAATTAAGGAGATTAAAGCAGATTGCAAGTGACAGAGTATTTTTAGATTTTACATTCAATTCTTGTAGCTAAAATTATAAGAAATATATGACAGTTTGAAGGGAGAACTGATTCGGAATCCTATGTCTTAAGATTTTGTGAACCATCTGTAAACTAAGCTTGCTAATTTTTTCATAGGCTGGAGGTATGCAAGCACTGGCTATGCATCTTGGTCACCAGAGCAACAGACTTGTTCAGAACTGCCTCTGGACTCTGCGCAATCTGTCAGATGCTGCAACCAAGGAGGATGGTCTTGACAACTTGCTGCAGATGTTGGTGCAGCTGCTGTCATCCAATGATATTCAAGTTGTGACATGTGCGGCAGGTGTCTTGTCAAACCTGACATGTAACAACCCCAACAACAAACAACTTGTTTACAGGTTTGGTGGCATAGAGGCACTGGTGAGGACATGTATGCAGGCTGGAGACAGGGAGGAGATCACTGAGCCAGCGGTAAGATGTCTGGCTTCTTAACCCTTTCCATCCTAACATCAGTATGCATATTCTCCATACTGTTCTCTCCACATTTCCTAAGGTGCTGATAAGGGGAATTTGTTTAACAATCAAGATGTTTTTCATTGGTGATCAGTTCCTTTATTCTCATGACCTTAATGTGTGATTCAAGGGTGATGTCATCAAACTGGTAATTTACAAATATTGGAAACCACAGCCCTAAAACATTTTTTGACTAAGTAACTTTGATGTATTGATTTAGCTTTTTGTAAGCAACTCAATCATCCATTGCAATTTCCTAAACCTTACTTATTCTTTTACAGTGCTGTGCCTTGCGCCACTTGACGAGTCGACATGAAGATGCTGAGAAAGCCCAAAATGCAGTGCGAGTTCACTTTGGCTTGCCAGTCTTGGTGAAACTTCTGTATCCACCCTCTCGCTGGCCACTCATCAAAGCAATTGTTGGTCTCATGCGTAATCTGGCATTATGCCCCCTTAATCACACACCAATCCGTGAGCATGGAGGTCTGCCTCAGCTCGTTCAACTGATGATGAGAGCCCATCAGGATATGCAGAGGAGACCAGGACAGAGTGTGGTAATTGACGGAGTAAGAATGGAGGACATTGTTGATGGCTGTGTTGGTGCCCTGCATATTTTGGCCAGAGAGGCACACAACAGAGCTGTCATAAGAAGTCTCAACTGCATTCCTCTTTTTGTGCAGGTACCACCAATAACAATGATACTTATTTCCTGATAAATCTCTCAGTTAGTACTTGCACTATGATTGGTCAATTCTCTAGGAATTTTTTTTTAATACCCTTAAACACCTAGAAGTGATCAACATGAAACTTCTCCCTGTTATATCCTTACACTCTCCAGCAAACAGGTCATGAGAATATTTAAACTTATCAGATAGAAGTTTTTGTCTTGATCTTGTGCCAAATTCTCATAAATAATTTACAAGGATATATGTAGCAGCTAGAGGGGAGAATTAATAATCAGATCTTGGGAGTTGAAGGTTTGATTTAGAACTGCCCCCTCTATTTGAACCCAGTGATATACAAATATCATACTCACCTCATTTTCTCCATCTGCCCTGCAAGTTATTAAACCTCATATTTTCCACTCAGAATCATAAGGCAACACTTCACGCCATTAATCTAGGTGGAATGACATTTACAGGCCACCTTAGTTACTGGAGAAAGTCTTAACCCTTTTTACCTCTTTAGATCTTACTGTTAATCCTCCACTCTAGCTGCTACACATTTCCTTTGAAATTATTTATGAGAAATTAGCATTAGATCAAGGAAAAAGCTTCTTGTATGTGATAAGTTTGAGTATTCTGGTTACCTGTTTGCCAGATAATGTATAGATGTTTTCAGGAAGAAGTTATATGTTTTGATATAGCTAGACTTTACAATTGACACTTAATTCTTAATCTGGAAACAAACAATTATACATTCATTTATAATCATAGCTACATTACACAAACACATTTTGTACTTAGTCCAAAAAAGTTCTTGATTTTGTGACAGTTCCATCACAACATCTTCATCTTTTCCCTTCAGCTCCTCTATTGCCCAATTGAGAACATTCAGCGCGTTGCAGCTGGAGTACTCTGCGAACTTGCACAAGACAAGGAAGGTGCTGAGGCTATTGAGGCTGAAAATGCAACAGCACCCTTAACTGACCTGTTACACTCCAGAAATGAGGGCATTGCTGCTTATGCTGCTGCTGTACTCTTCCGCATGTCTGAGGATAAGTCGCAAGATTACAAGAAGAGATTATCAGTTGAACTGACTAGTTCTCTTTTCCGGGATGATGCTCCCTGGCCTGAGGTGAGAAGCCACTCTCATTGTACTGTATATGTTTTCTAAATATTTTTTTTACCCCCCATGAATGACCAAGACAGAATTTCTCCCTACACCATCAAAACAATATCATACAGACAAGTGATGAGAATACAGAAAAATATCAGTTAGGGGATTATTACTTGATCTGATACAAAATTCTCTGAACTAACATTACAAGAATTGTGAGGCATGGAAGGAAAATGGTTAAGATTTTTTAAAATAAATGCCGAAGTATTTGGTAACTTTGAGATACAGAGTAAAACAGAAAAACTGCTAACCTGCCGAAGAAAACTCCCAGAAATGTTTCATGCCACTCAGTGGGTGTCATGTTTTCCTGTGGTTTCACTGTTTTTCCCACTTTGATCTCACTATCAAAGTTAACAGCAAAACTCTGCAGGGTAGCCAGCAAGTTTTTCTGTCCATCAAGGCCCAGTTGTTCATAGCGTGGATAATGCTATCCAGCAAATAAATCACTATTCAGTCAAGTGATGTTTGTAGATCGCACTGCGTTATCCACTGGGTATAAATTTCTCAAGTGGATAGCGTTACCTACTCTTTGAACAACCAGGGATAGCCCTCTATATATAGAGCTCACTTGCAAAATGTTACAGCTCAAGAAAGTTTCTAGCCCAGAGTTTTTTGATAACCAATGCTGACCACTCTTTCTGTTTTTTTTTTTTTTTTTCCAGCCAATGGATGGAGACTTCCCAGACCCAAACTACAACATGCCACCAGGAGGGTATGGTTACCCCCATGATGGGTTTGATTACAACCAGCCCATGGACTATTCTCACGAACCTGGTTCTGGTTACGATTTCCACCATGGTGATCCATCTATGCAACCTCTTGCTCACCCAGGAGGGCCACCTCCTCGAGGCGGCACATGGTATGACACTGACTTGTAAGAAGACTGGTTTGATGACTTGAATTTCAACCTTGTGTAATAGGTTGTGAACTTTTTATCTTAGACAGCTGTGGTTCCCATGCTTTTTCTTTGGATGCAACCCTGCTGCCCATTTGTAGGGCAGCTCATATTATAGTTTGGGTACAACAAAGTCCAACGCAACTGTTGTCCAAAGGCAACAATCAGCTACCACTTATAGTGTCGTGCATTGTGTTAGTTATAGTCATGTAAGCTTGCTGTTTATAGTAGAGCCATTTCAGTTTTGCTTTTTTGTTCTTTGCTAACTAACGTAAGGTTGGAAAACTTTTTGAGTGATGCTTTATAAAAGAAAACAATAGCAACAACAACAACAACAACAACGATCCCTTGGTTGAAGTGTTTGCTAGAGCATTTGTCACTTGAATTTCTAGTCTAAACAGCAGCATTTAGAAAGTCGTGGCTGACAAGTATTTTGTGTAGTTTACTTTCGTTTGCTAACCAAATACATTTTCAAGATGTATTGTTTTTATGCACAGTTTCTAATGTTAAGCTTGTTTGCACAAAATGGGAATTTTTTCCTTCTTACTTGTCTTTTATTAAACTTCTTTTTGAACCTACAAAGTGCAAAGGATTTGGCACTTTGTTAGTTTTTCTTTCAAGCTGAGGGCTTCAGATAAAGAAACACCACTCTAGCTGTTCTGAGAACTGGAGATTCAGTTCACACGGGTTAATTAAAGGGGCACCTATCCTGCTTCACCTGTCGTATTTTATTTCTTACAGCTATTTGATGGGAATGACAATTCTTTGTCATCATAACCTTTTTTTCGATTTCAACCTGATTCCTTTAGTGATACGTCGCTTGTGTATACAGAAAATTGAGTAGAGCACCTCGGGGTTGCCGTCATTAAGTAAAAATAATGAATCCTGATTAACAATTACTCTAATAAATCAATGATTGTTTTGCTGACAAAACATATAATATGTCTTGGCTGGTTTCTGAAATTGAAATATTATCTGTCTTTTGTTCTTTCTATTTCTATTCATGAATTTATTTATATTTTGATCAGAAAAGCTGACTCTCACTTTGCTTTCATTATTTTCTCCACTTTCCTCACACAAATGTACAATAAAAACTAGGTTTTTTTTCTTGCGCTTTGAAATATTGTATTTGTATAGATTGTTATGTGGCTGAGGGCTGTTGCAGTGAATTAATTTTAGCCATTTTTAGTCTCACTAGGCAGTCTTGCCTAGATCGGTATTAAGATGATTGATATGAGAGGAAATGAACAGTGATTGATCTGCTATGTGCAATTAAATTTTCTAATCATGTACAAATCTTGTTTGTATTGATGTGTTTTATGAGGGGGTTTGAAGGAATCTTCTGTCCAGTACGCTGGAAAGCGGATGAAAATGACCAGGGTTAACCCTTACACCCTTGAGAAAGACAGTCATCCAATTTCTTCTTACAATATCACCCCTGAATCACACATTACAGCCACGAGAATAGAAGAAATGATCATCAACTAAAGTGGCTCTTGATTTACAAACGATCTTTTCGTCAGCGCATTAGGAAATGGAGAAAATTTTAGAGAATATGCTGGAAAAAGTGAAGTCGTAACCGTGTCACCGTGTGTTGCTGACGAAGACACCTGCACAGTGACTCTCTCCACCCAGGAGAGGAGTGGATGACGATGGAGTGAGGGGAGGGAAGGGTTATAACCCCCTACTCACCTCCTGTCCATAAGGTAGTTGTAATTTTTACTTGTAGCTCATGCCACTGAAACCTCAGTGAGCTTGGGCAGGGTGAGTCATCTGGCTCGTTGGATGGCTCAACCTTGCGTTTATCCCTTTAACCCTCTAAGAGAGACTAGGATCTAATTTCTCCATATAATATCACCCCTGAATGACACATTTAGGTCACGATAATAAAGGAAATGATCACTGACTAGAGAAGCTCATGATTGTAAGACAAATTCTCCTTGTCAGTTCCTTAAGAAATGTAAAGAGGATAGTATAGAGAATATGTATGCTCAACCTGACATGGTTCAATGTAAACGTGCCCCAGTTCACCTCTAAGTGTTGTTGTTGATGGCGGTTTTTCCTTCGTCTAAGAATGGCTCATCCCAGGCCCCAGATTATCTCTCTCTTCCGCCTCTGGAACAGGAAACGGCCCCGGGAACGATGTAAGAGAAAGAAAGGTTGAGAAAAGTCTTTCGTACATATTTCATAAAACAACTCATAAGGCCTTAGGGGTAATTCCTATCGATGTCAGAAAAAACACTTTCCGTTATCCGGTCGGAAAGTGTCCGAACACTGCCGTGCCGTTCTTTCGTCTGCACCTTCCGTACATCGAAACGGGTTTAGAGCCCCTTGCTCCTGCACGGGTACAGATTTCAGTGCAGTAAAACCCCGCTCGCTTCAAATGTCAGAGGGAAACAAAGAAAAAAAAACCATCGTATAGTCTGAGCTCACCTGAGTTTGAGTTTGTATTTTCAAACAGTACAACAATATTTGCTCCTTATTTATATTGAACTTTTGAACTTGAACAAGTTGAAAATCAGTGTCAACCCATTTCGTTTTGCAATTGAGAGAAAATAACCGAAGTGGTTTTCGTTCCCCTTTTGAAAGTTGGAAAACTCATTTGAATTTCAAATATTTATTTCAACATTAATATTCATTTATACTCTAACTCTTGCACGTGGAAAGAGCTCACGAACTGCGAGAAACTTTAGCGTCTTCGCCAGACACTCCATGTCAGTATACACTTTGCTTCAAGCCAAATTGCTTTGGATATGGCATCTTCCGTGCAGCAGCCTGTGTCTGTTTCTTCGAAGCTGCTTAACCGTGAAGTTCAAATTCGACGTCAAGGATTAATGGATGACAAACTGTCACGTCTTTTCGCAAGGTAAATAGCCTGAATATTGCTATTTTTGATAGAAATTCAGAGTTTCCCGTTGTTTCCCGTTGTTCCCGTAGCAAAGTCAAATGGCAGAGTGCAGTGCGCAAAGGAATATTACTCAAAACAATGTTAAAAGAATCACAAAAAGCAGTCGCCATGACAGTTTTTATGGAAGCACGTGACTTTTAGGGCAACAGCGAGTGATTCTCATTGTATTGATGGAGCATCAATCTCTTTTTCAATCATTTATCTATCTTTGTTTTCTGTACTAACTGGATCACACCATCCCTGCTCCCCTAATATATTTTACTAACGAAGACATTAAAAATAATTTTTACTTTTTTTTTTGTTTTGTTTTTTGTTTTTTTTGTGGTTAAACAATTTTATTTACAAGACGATCACTTACACTACTTACAGCATTAATTACACTTACATTGTACTTGCTACTAACAATACTGATACTTATGCTTACACAAATTATGCATACACTACATTACGATACATGTATTACAATACTATTAACATTAATTTAATTTACGGTTGGCGTGTTTACAAAGTTCTTTTCAATTAAAAGACAATCACAAGTAAACATACAGGTCTCAAAAATGAAGTTAAGTATAAGTCTAACCTAAAAACAACAGCAGTATGAAAAATTAAAGTAAAAAAGCCCACGTGCGATAAAATTTCGGAAGTTCTTTTTTTGCGGTCGCGATCTCTTTTAGGATTTCAAGTTTTCCCGTGATGAACAGTAGGAAGATTTGAAAATCTAAGATGTCTCCGCAAAGGCTTGTGCAGAAAATGTGATATTTGGCTAACAATAGGCAATAATTTAGGACTTGCCAATGCTTTGTCCTATAATGCCAGCCATAGAGTATATGACTTGTGGATAACGTTATTGTTTCATTTGTTTTTTGGTGCAAAATAATTTTTACTTTAGTACCTCGTGCACTTTTAGGATTCTCTTTCATCAGATTGTTACGCTAGTATCTCGCACAGTTAGGATTTTCTTTCATTTGACTGTTACGCTAATATCTTGGGCACTTTTAGGATACTCCTTCATTCGAAAGTTACATCAGTATCTCGTGCATTTCAGGATTGACTCACATTCGAATTTTACGTCAGCGTTTTGCGCAGTTTTAGAATCCTCTTTCATTGGATTGTTGCGTCAGTATCTCGCTCGCAGTTAGGATTCTCTTTCTTCTTGCGCACTTTTGGGATTCTCTTTCATGCTACTGCCACTTTGGTATCTAGCTCACGTTTAGGAATCACTTTTATTGGATTGTTACGTTAGTATCTTGCGCACCTTAAGGAATCTCTTTCATTTAATTGTTACACTACTTTCTCACGCGCTTTAGACTTAATTCTCCCCTGTTTAGTTGGATTTTTACGTAAGTATCTTTTGCATTGTTAGGATTGTCTTACTTTCAGTTGTTATGTTATAATTCTTTACTTTTTTTAGGATACTTTTTAACCGGATTGTTACGTTATCATCTTGCGCCCTTTGAAGATTCTTTATAATTTGTTTGCTATGTTAGTATCTCGCGACCTCTGGGATTCTCCCTCACTGGATTGTTACGTTAGTATCTCGAGCATATTAGGATTTTCTCTCATTGGACTGCAATGTTACAATCTTGCACACTTTGAAATTCTCTTTAATTGGATTTTTACGTTTGTATCTCGCGCACTTTAGAATTCTTTTTCATTTGATTGGTACGCTAGCGTCTTGTGCACTTTAGAATTCTTCTTCATTTGTTTGTTAAGCTAGCATCTGGCGCTCTTGTGAAGTTTCATTTGATTGATACGTTAACATCTCGTGCACTTTAGAATTCTGTTTCATTTGATTGGTACGTTAGCATCTCGCGCACTTTAGAATTCTTTTTCATTTGATTGATACGTTCGCATATCGCGCACTTTTAGAATTCTTTTTCATTTGATCGATACGTTCGCATATCGCGCACTTTTAGAATTCTTTTTCATTTGAATGTTACGTTAGCATCTCTCGCTCTTTAGAATTCTTTTTCATTTGATTGTTACGTTAGCATCTCGCGCTCTTTTAGAATTCTTTTTCATTTGATTGTTACGCTAGCATCTCGCGCACTTTTAGAATTCTTTTTCATTTGATTGTTACGCTAGCATCTCGCGCACTTTTAGAATTCTTTTTCATTTGATTGTTACGCTAGCAACTCGCGCTCTTTTAGAATTCTTTTTCATTTGATTGTTACGCTAGCATCTCGCGCACTTTTAGAATTCTTTTTCATTTGATTGTTACGCTAGCATCTCGCGCACTTTAGAATTCTTTTTCATTTGATTGTTACGTTAGCATCTCGCGCACTTTTAGAATTCTTTTTCATTTGATTGTTACGCTAACATCTCGCGCTCTTTTAGAATTCTTTTTCATTTGATTGTTACGTTAGCATCTCGCGCACTTTTAGAATTCTTTTTCATTTGATTGTTACGCTAGCATCTCGCGCACTTTAGAATTCTTTTTCATTTTATTGGTACGTTAGCATCTCGCACACTTTAGAATTCTTTTTCATTTTATTGGTACGTTAGCATCTCGCACACTTTAGAATTCTTTTTCATTTGATTGTTACGCCAGCATCTCTCGCTCTTTAGAATTCTTTTTCATTTGATTGATACGTTCGCATATCGCGCACTTTAGAATTCTTTTTCATTTGCTTGGTACGTTAGCGTTTGGCGCACTTTAGAATTCTTTTTCATTTGATTATTAAGTTAGCATCTCGTGCACTTAAGAATTATTTCTCATTTTGTTGTTAGGCTAGCATCTCGGGCACTTTAGAATTCTTTTTCATTTGATTGGTACGTTAGCTTCTCGCGCTCTTTAGAATTCTTTTTCATTTGATTTTTACGGCAGCATCTCGTGCACTTAAGAATTATTTTTCATTTTGTTGTTACGCTAGCATCTCGGGCACTTTAGAATTCTTTTTCATTTGATTGGTACGTTAGCTTCTCGCGCTCTTTAGAATTCTTTTTCATTTGATTTTTACGGCAGCATCTCGTGCACTTAAGAATTATTTTTCATTTTGTTGTTACGCTAGCATCTCGGGCACTTTAGAATTCTTTTTCATTTGATTGGTACGTTAGCATCTCGGGCTCTTTAGAATTCTTTTTCATGTGATTGGTACTTTAGCATCTCGCGCTCTTTAGAATTCTTTTTCATTTGATTTTTACGCCAGCATCTCTCGCTTTTTAGAATTCTTTTTCATTTGATTGTTACGTTAGCATCTCGCGCACTTTAGAATTCCTTTTCATTCGATTGTTAAGCCGGTTAGCATCTCGCACACTTTTAGAATTCTATTTTATTGCATTTTTGTGTTAGTATCTCAGTGCATTGTTATGTTGGTGTTTCGCGCACGTTTTGGGTTTTCTTTCATTCGATAGCCTCGTTAGTATCTCGCGCACTTTTAGAATTCTCCTTCATTCGACTGCTACGTTATCATCTCGCGCAGTTTTAGAATAAGTTCTTAGTGGTGTGTAAAGAGCAAGTTATCAATGAAGTGGGCAATTTTCAACATTAAAGTGTAAAGGTGAATATCGTAATATTTTTATGTGCGAAAACTAATAGAAATGATGACAAAATGACCGATTTTTGGAAATCTAAAGCTAGAGACTATTTTACCGTTCAAAAGATTCTTCCAGGTCTAAAATTGTTGTCAGAAAGCGGCTAAAATAGAGAAGTTCTTTCAATCCTTGGACGAATAATATTACCGGATTTACCTTTTTGACGGTTGACGGTAAAAATATATCCTTTTTGATGTGTTATAGCTGTTGAGGATAATACCAAATTCAGAACAACATTCTGCGAAAATTTGTATTCGTCAAATTGTTCAACTCTCAGAAAGGTTTTTTTACTAATGGTCAGCGTATGGAGTCTTGTGGCTTAAACTGAATTAACCCCTGAATCATTGTTTTTCTCCACACCCTGCCCTGTGAAAATTTTTACAGACTTGTGGGTCCTGAAGAACTTGGGGATATGGAACACCATAGCATGGATATACGGTGTTATTCGTGCACGTTCATAGCCCTTTCTTTTGTCTCTTAGAGAAATGAAAAGGTTTACCCAGCTTTTAGCCTTTTCAAAGAAATCTGTAATTTGCTTATCTGAATTTTGACCACTTCCAATAAATGTATATAGTTCCCTAAAGTCTTCCCATATTTTCTTGACAGTATTTGAAGTTGAAGTCTGAACAACACTTAAAATTTTGCCTGGGAGCTCTCTCAGGAGTTGCTTTTTGTCATTCCCAAGCAAACTTGTAAAATCATAGGTGCCTGATCCCTTTCCATCAGCATTGGTTTTTTCCCAGATATCAAAACTAACCCCACATGAGCGTACTGCAGCCTGCAGCCTGCAGCCTCTCTCGATGAACACCTTTCTTTTCTCCCCTTTTCTTATTTAAATCATCTTTTTTGTCCCATTGTAATACATCCTCCAGTAAATTATTTAGTAACACATCAACTACTCTAAGTAAAAGGTGCAATTCGTCTAAAATTACATGATCTAACTCAATGTTTAATAGAGGCTCATGTTCACAGCAAAAATTTTCTCTGCCCTTTTTTGATAATTCTTTTAATTCTTTTAGTGTTCTTTGCAATGGTGTCTTATTGTAAAAATCTTCCTCATGGTTCATATCCCATCTTTTATCTTTGTGAACTTTGCACCATGCACAAGCATAGAAAGAGGTGGCACCTTTGAGACCCAACATGATTAAAATGAATTTATAATCTCCCCCCAAAAATAATTCAAGTTTTATTTCTTTCCCATTCATTGTGATTTTGGTCATTGAATTTAGATCATTTATGTCTGAAAAAACATTAGCAAATGATTCCTTCAGTGTTTCATAATTTTCTGAGCCCTTCACAATGGCGATTGTGTTATTTCCCCTTGCTGACATTAAATGACTGTTATTTTGCAACAAAGCAAAAGAAAGAATGATAAAGGTTGTATTGCGAGTCATCCTTGCCCCATCCCCTGATATTTTAACTTTAACAATTTCATTTTCAAAATCAAATTCTGGATTTTGGTCGATTAAATCTTGCACCCTTTCCTTGAGAAGTTCCTTGAATGAAACTTCTGCCCCCTCAGCCCTCCCAGGTGTAGATACAATATGGCACATGTCATTTAGTTGTGTTCGCCGTTGCTTGATTATATATGATTTAGGAAGATCATTATACATTGAGAACTCATGATAAAATGAGTCCCCCACACAAAATTTGTCTAATAGAAATAAAATTTTATCTACTTTTTCTTTTTCCTCTTCTGAAAGGGAGTCAAACCCTGTGGCAGTGTTTTCTTGCTGGTCATCACTGGCCATTTTTACATTATGCTTGCTTCCAGTCTGAACTTCTTTCATGGCAACTGACTCAATTTCTAGTCCAAAGGACTTGGCAAACCACAGTGCTGTCTGAGCTCTTGTCATGAAAGTCTTCAAAGTCCTCGACTTTTTCTTCACTTGAGAAATGTCTTTCCCCTTGTAGTCTTGCTGAGCTGTCTGCAGGCGTTCAATATAATCAATTAATTCTTTATTTGTGGTCTCAGCTTTTTCAAAATCATCTTGAAGTGTTCTTATTTCAGCTTGCATTTCATGAAGCATTTTTCTCTTTTCTTCCTCCAAATTTGCATAGTTTGATTTCCACTCTTCAATTTCTTCATGCAGGGAAGAGTTCAACTCCTTTAGTTGTTCATTTTCCCTCTCCAGCTCTGCTGCTGACTGAACATGTCTCTCAAACACATGGAACTTTTTTATTTTCGAGTTCAGGGCAAGGCCCTTTCTCCCCCTGATCTGCTTGTATTGAGACTTCACAGAAGAAGCTAATTTTCGCAGAGATTCATTCAACTCTTCTCTCACTTCTTCCGATTTTCTGATAGAAAACAGATTGCTAGGAATAATAAGTTCAAACAAGTCTATGTAAGTTTTATATTTTTTCCTCATACGTTTCTGAAATACTTCCAGCGTGATCGGACCTTGCGTCAGTTCACCATCCACGTGTTCTTCTTCCTCTGTCCCTTCATTTTCTGGTTTATCAAGGAATTCATTCCAAGCTTTAAGCATAGGGAAAGGTATGTCAAAGGTAAATGCAACATTTTCCGCCATGGACTGTGAGACATATTTCAGTGAAGGAGGCTGTGGTGCCAATTTCGTATTAAATATATAGTTGAGAGGAGGTGCGTCCGACATTGTAAATGTTTCAAGTGATTACGAAACTGGAGAGGTAAGATGTTTTATTACTTTATTGCAAAATAACAGATTGAGACCGGAAAGAAATGAGAAACTTGCGTCTCGTTTATGCCTAAATTGGAAGTCACGCAACCATGTCACGGAATGGATAGCGTTACGGCAAGCGGTTA